CAGAAGAGCAGCAGTACTGCCCTCAGCAGGAATCTTCCCTGCCTCGACTTCCAGGGGTCCACACAGCATCTCAGGCAAGGGCTCCCTGACGCCTACCTTGGGACAGCACCCATGCTTTGGTCATACTAGTGTGGTCAGAGACAAAGAGAATTGTGACCAACAGGGTGGTCACATACCTGTGGGTGGCTCCCAGGTCCCTGTGGTCAGATTGTTCTATTCCCAGAGAAGCGATGAGCTTTATCGGGATCTTGGTATCCAACCGCGGGAGGCCACCGAATGCCCAGCAGAGGAGCCTCCGCCGGCTCGAAAATTCAGGCACAAGTGCAAATTTAAGGTCAGATTTGATCAACGCTAGCCTGGGATCAAATCTCTGCAAGATGGATTTCAGTGGCTAATACAAATAGGTACTGAAGCTCTAGAGAGAGTGTGGCAGGTGGGAAGGGAAGTGACTGTGGAGGATTATCCCCATTAAATCCCATCTTTCCTCTCAGAAAACGCCTAAGTGAGAAAAAAGAGCCCTGCTTTCCAGCTTTCAGGATGCTTCCGTGGAACAATGCTTTAAGCCTTTGCGAAGGACTTCAGGAAGAAATTCATTTCTCCTTATCTGCAAACTAAACGTGAGGCTAGGCAGCTTTAATTCAGACTTTGGTCTGCAAATACTGAGGCAAACGGTGGTGGAAGACAGCAGTCCCACCGCCCCCGGCCAAGAACAAGCACCCTTCTGAGGAGTTGGATGGACTGGCCGATACAGAGAGCATACAAGCCTCCGGTCCCAGCCGGCGTGTCTTCACCGGCTCGAAGGCAGGCAGCCGGCTGAGCCGTCCTCCCAGACAAGCTGGTTTAAGTGGTTCCAACGACCAAAGCCCAAACACAGGCAAGTCTCGACTTCTGTGGCTGAGGAGCAGGTTGGTTACAACATACAGAGCAAAAACTTCTCCTCTTTCAAAGCCTCCTGCCTAAAAGCATCTTAGGCAAGACTCTCGTGAAGTAAGCGTTACGTCACAGGAAGTCCCTTAGCAGTGCGTCTCTTAGTGGCGTGCGAGGGTCGGACAAGCCTCAGCCTCAGCCCTCAAGCACTTACTCCGCAGCAGCCGGGAGTTGGGGGAAGGCGGGAGGAAGGGGGCCGAGAATGGCGGTGCGTCTTGGGTGTTGTAGTTTACTTCCGGAGGCGATGCCCTTGGGAAGACTCGGCTCTGGGGTTCCGAGAAATACATCTCCCAGGGTGCGCCACGACAGGGCGCGCGGGGTGGTGAGCGGGCCCGGCAAGCCGGATGCGCCGGGAGGAGGAAGTGCGCGTGCGCGCTGAGCCAGCGCCCGCGTCCGGCTCCCGAAGCTTCCGGTTACTTCCGTGGTGTCCCCGCAGGTCCCTGAGGAGCCGTGGGGCGCCGGCTTCGCCTCAATGTTGGTCAGACAGGGTGTGGAGTCGGGAGACTTGGCTGCCATGAGCCTGGGGTTCCTCCCCCTGCCTTGGACCCGGTCCGCCCCATTTGCCGGACAGACCTCTCTAACGGCACCCGCGTTTGGGCAGTGGTGTTCCGAATCGGGCCGCCCGGAGGAGGCCACCTTCTCTTTCACCGCCCTGATTGTGTGCACCCCTATTCACCTGTCGCCCCCTGCTCACCAGCTCTTCCGGATACGGCCACCTGGGTTGCCCACCGCTTACACTGAGCAGGAGCGCCTTCAAGTCAGGTGTCAGCGGGCATGGACAGGCGGGGTTTTCGCCACTAGTTTTTAAATTTTGTTCAAGTCAGAGTGCTGTTAGTGGAGGTCAGCACTCTTTCTGTACTACTTAAATGGATCCTTGTTAGAAGGGAAACAGGTTATATCAATCACTTCAGGCCTGGCTCTTCCTGAATTGGTTATTGCAGTGTCCCTCTTGAGCAAGCACCCTTGTCTGCTCTCAGACCCAAGTAGCTGGGAGGGCATCAAAATTATAACTCGATATTTCCAGCGTTCTTGAGAAAAACAGGCGTCTGCACCTTCAGTTGATGCACCCAGCCTCATTAGAAAGGCGTTGCTATTTTTGTTTTTGCTTAATGGAGCAGCCAAGTTCTAACGCTGGCTCCTTGGCAATTACTTAGAAAATGTTTTTAGTTGAGAGAACATATGCGTCCACTTTGGGTTTGATGCTAACATCTAAATGACTAAAGACAGGGCATAAAAAAGTAAATTCAGTCTTTAGAATTGTTTAAATGATCTGATCTGAGCATTTTCCTTAAAAAAAAAAAAAAAAAAAAAAAGTCATTCGTGCCATCTATATTGGCACTGGAGCCTGTAGCAAAGTCCGTGGAGTGGTCCCCACTTTGCAGGCAATTGTTCCCTAATTCTGAGTGGAGGGGGCTCCTTTGATAGTTACTATTGAGAAGTAATTCTCTAAACAAAGCATGCAGAAACACTGTAACCCTAATCCACAGCTCAGACCCAAAAATCAGGTTTTTAAATTTTTCTAGATTTACTTTAATGGAAGATTTTTTAAAGATTAGTTTTTGTAATATTTATTTTTATTGGAAAGGCAGATCTACAAAGAGGAGATAGAAACATCTCCATCTGCTGGTTCACTCATCAAGTGGCTGAAACAGCCAGAGCTGAGCCAGTCTGAAGCCAGGAGCTTCTTCTGGGTCCCAAGGCTTTGGGCCTTTCTCCCCTGATTTCCCAGGCCCCAAGCAGGGAGCTGGAGAAGTAGAACAGCCAGGATATGAATCGTCTATATGGATTCCTGGTGCATGCAGGGAAAGGATTTAGCCCCACTAGGCTATCACACTAGGCTCTTTTTTTTTAAACATTTACTTATTTTTATTGTAAAGTCAGATATATGCACAGGAGGAGCAACAGAAAGGAAGATCTTCTGTCTGATGAATCACTTCCCAAATAGCCACAATGGCCAGAGCTGTGCCAATCTGAAGCCAGGGACCCAGAGCCTCTACTGGGACTCACACATGGTGCAGGGTTCCAACGCTTTGGGCCGTCCTCAAATGCCTTCCCAGGCCACAAGTGGGGAACTAGATGGGGAGCGGGGCTGCTGGGATTAGAACCAGCACCCATACGGGATCCTGGCATGTGCAAAGTGAGGACCTTAGCCTCTAGGCTACTGTGCCGAGTCCAGGGCACTTACTCTTTACAAAGTCTTATCTTAACTGAAGTTTGGGTTTTTAAAAGTCACCTGATCCTGGACAATAAGATGCTGGACTTTATGCTAGGTATATGCTTGCAATGAAGGAATCTCAACTGAACTTGAACTGTGGTTATGCAGCAAGGTGGAGGAATCCACTATGGGGGGAGGGGTGCGGGAGGGGTGGGGGGAATCCCCAGTGCCTATAAAACTATCACATAATACAATGTTAATAACAATAAAAAAAAAAGTCACCTGATCAGTGTAATTCTTCAGAGCTAGAGTAAAGTTCTTTAGAGTGTTGGGTCCTTCTATGAGGATCAACTTGCACATGTACAGGGCTCCAGGACTTGTTACTGCACATCCTGGTGTTTCACTAGAAGCAGTGCCATCCCTGAAAACGCTGACGTGGGCTGAGTGGATCCGTGAGGCCTGCACATTACCTTCACTGCAGCCCTGCTGGACCTCGGCACACATCCCAGGTCACACGGTGTGAGGGCAAACTAACAGACAGCATTGACAGAGGCAACTGTCTTGACAACTGTTCTTTCTTAGCTCACTCTTGCGTTCTCAGCTCACTCTCTTTCTTGGAGACCCCTGTCTAGATTTAAAACAAAAGCAAATTGGAGGAGGTTGGATCTTCAATAGGAAGTTGACAGTAAACTCTTCTTCCTTAAGAATAGCACTGAAGGGCCCAGCGCGATGGCGCAAGTGATTAAAGGTCCTCGCCTTGCACGCCCGGGATCCCATATGGGCGCTGGTTCTAATCCCGGCAGCCCCGCTTCCCTTCCAGCTCCCTGCCTGTGGCCCGGGAAAGCAGTCGAGGACAGCCCAAAGCCTTGGGACCCTGCACCTGCGTGGGAGACCCGGAAGAGGCTCCTGGCTTTGGATCGGCATAGTATCGGCCCGTTGCGCTCACTTGGGGAGTGAATCATCGGACGGAAGATCTTCCTCTCTGTCTCTCCTCTCTGTATATCCGCCTTTCCAATGAAAAAATAATAAAAATAAATCTTTAAAAAAAAAAAAAAAGAATAGCACTGAAACCAGCCAAGCAATACATCATCTCTAAAGGACACTCCAACCTCTCCTTGAAAATGAACCTGCATTACGAATTTAACAGTTCTTAAGAGTGTCTACGACGGGTGCTGAATATTTAGTCTAGGGGCCATATAATGCATGCTAAACCATTTGGTCTAGCCCCAAAGCACAGGTGGAACCTGATAATCAATCTATAGTAGGCTGATTTGTTAAGTTTAAAATTTCAAGTGGCCTGTGACTGCTGTTATAAACATCCACATGCCTTATGGCAGAAAGATTCCCCACATCCAGTACTAGTTATAAAATTTCATTCCATTAAAAAAAAAAAAAGATGAAATTCAGGCAACTTATGGAGTGCTGAAAGTGTCTCAATCCCAAAGGAAAATGGAAGTGTCAAAGCCAGACCACCATGAGTCCAAAGGAAATTTTTACACTGCTTCACCCTTCTTTTCATCCCATCAGGGAGTGAGTCTTCTTCCACTCTAGGAATAATCAAAGCACAAATCTATAGGGAATACAACAGACATCTGAATACTACCTAAAAACCCTAAATTGTAGCTAAACCTACAGGAGAGAGAAAACATCGTTTCAGCCAATAAAAATAAGCCAGAATGCAGTGATGTTTGAATCCTGGGTTAAGTCTTCTTTCTTTCAAAGAAACACATGTTCCTGAAATAACCAAAGGACTCTGCCTTTTGCAGAGAATGTTCAGCCAGGTGCTGCTCCCACAATGATCTTTTGGCAAACTTGGGAAAGCGGCTGTAAAGCCTGCGTTTAAGTCACATTGCAAGGTAGGAAACCTAGTAAAGTCCTTGAGAAAGCACACACGACAATGCACCATTACCCCAGTATATTTATCACTTAGAAAAAGCTGTCAAGTATTTTATTATTTTATTCTACATTATATACAGTTTATAAAAGGCCACAGCAGTTTATCAACATATAAACCCTTTAAAATTAGAGGGCACTAGGAAGGTCAGACAAGTATGAAATGAAGTCCAGTAATGAGGGCGTATACTCAGTGCAGTATTTCTGAGGAGTAACAGATACCAAGTCACTATTCCATATGTCTTTCACAAACTTTGAAACTAATTAGGCTAGATATACCAGGTTGTCATTTCTTAAAAAAATAAATAAATAAAGGGAATCAAAAATCAAAGAATAATCCATCACAATTCTAGCCACTTTTCACTTTTTCCTGCCTTTAAAAAGAAAAAAAACACCAGGAAAAGCCCTATGAGTCCTTCCTGCTTATCAGAACTTTCCCTTTTACAGGGGTCTCTTCAGGGTAAACTTGAGGCCCTATTTACAAATTAGCTGCAAATTCTTCAGCACAGAATATTTTATGATCTGTGAATAGTAATTTGAACAAATTGGTTTCCACTTCAAAAATACAACTTTCAACCCTAAAATTGGTATCAGCAGATCAATATAAAAAAATACAGTACCAAGCTACACTGGTATATTGCCATATTAAGAACTTCAAAATATACTTATCACTGAGACCATAGTCCTTGCATTAGTTTTCAGTCCACTATGAACAATTACCTGCTGCATGTAAACATGTCTAAATAGGTATAGATAAAATACATCCATCATAAACATCTGTAAAAGATAATAAAATATCTTCTTTAAAAAACAAAACAATAAACTATTACTGCATTGTTTCCAATTTTATCAAAGTGGAACAACCGCATGGTTGTTGCCAGTCCTGAGTTCATGGTAATAAAAATGGCCCTAGTTCCTGGTTAAAGTCAGCAACCAATCCATCTCTTCAACAGACATCTTCTAGTACTGCAGGCAAAAATTTATTTTACGTGGCATTCTGTCCATTAATAAAATTATATACCAGAAATTGGCCAGTGCCACAGTACTGGGTTGCAAATAGTTTTCCATCAGGAGTAGGATCTGAGAAAGCAATTTCTTCTTTACTGAGATAAGAGCCATATATAAAGTTACTCCTATAAAAAGGGGGTGTGAGGGAAGGAGAAAAGATTAAATCATTAAAATCTGAAAAATAACTTCATCTAAAATATTAATAATACAGTTAAGCACTTTTTAATACCAGCCAAAACATTAAACATTTTCCCAACAACTTTTCATGATACAAATAGTCAAGTTCAAATAATTACTCAATTCAACCAAGAGTATCAAGAAAAATGAGTTAACAGTGAAAGACTGAGAGTTGATCTTTGAGAATCAGCTGTTCTGTCCTTAATTACTCAAAAGGACTAGAGGCTGTATTAATGACAATTAAGGTTTCACAGCCATAAACTTTGAGATTCCTTTCTATTACAGCTTCAAGTACTTTCAATAATGTATTTAAGGAAACAAACAAACAAAAAAAAAGGTTATTTATTTGGAAGGGCGAGACAGCATTTTCATATGTTGGTCCTTTCCCTAAACAGCTAAAATAGCCAGGGCTAGGCTAGTTCTAAGCCAGGAGCCTGGAGCTTCAGGCACATCTCCCATGTGGGTCGCAGGAGCCTAAACTACCCAGGCCATCCTCTGCTGCTTTCAGGCACTGGAGCAGGACAATGAGATGAGGGAAAGTGGGGAGTGTGACCTTGGGTCCAGTCCTTGGGATGCAGCTTGGACACCTGCATCCCACCTTGCAATGCTTGCATTCAACTCCCACCTCCACTCCCAGCTTCCAGCTTCCTGAGATGGCTGTGGTGCTGGTGTTCCTGTCATCCATGTGGGAGACATGGCCTGACCTGTCTCTTGCCAGCTCCAGCCATTGCGAACATTTCTGGAGGGAAGCAGTGGGTAAGAGCTCACTCTCAGCACCTCCATTTTGCAAATACTTTTTTTTAACTTTGAGAGAAAATAAGGACTGCAATGACTTCAAACCCACATTGGTGGCCCATTAAAAAAAAATAACAGATGTTACGAACACTACAGAGAAATGAAAACCTTCCCACAGGGGCCCATACAGAGGCAAAGCAAGCAAATCCTCCAACTGTGGTGCATGCATCTCATAAAGAAAAGGTTCGAGGCCTTGCTTTGATCCAGCACCTTAACAGCCATGAAAGTAATGGAGGATGGACTGAGCCCTTGGGGCCCCTGTACCCATGTAGCAAATCCGGAAGAAGCTCCTAGATATCAGCTTCACACCGGGACAGCTCTAGCCTGAACAGCCATTTCAGGAGAGAACCAGTGGATGGAAGATGTCTCTCTTCCTAACTCTACTTTCAAGTACAATTTTTAAAAATATAAAAACAAATGGGCTAAGACCAAGGCTCAACGGACTAATCCTCCCACTGCAAATACCACCATGTCATATGGATTCTAAAAACAGTTTGCCATGACAACCTGCCTCTGGTTATGCAAAAAATGGGTAAATCTGAGCCCTCCTCGATCATTACTCACCCGTGACAAACAAGGCCAGACAATAAGGCCCTACAATTCTGGGCACCTTGGGATCTCCTTTAAAACAAGAATTATTTTGAAAGCTATACTCACAGATCCACATTCTAGGAATACACAACAGATGGAACTAAACCGCTTCGGAATGATCTATTTTAATTTTACCCTCTTCCATTGAGCCTTTATTAACTGCACGTTACAGAACAAATAAAACAGAAAACTTGCCTGTCCCTGCTCTCTATGAAATACCTCCAATAAGCAATCCGTTGATAAAAGAAAAATTATTCCACTTACAAATAATATTAATAAATGAACACAAATTAAAGGTAAACTACCAGGAAAATGTTTCACAAATCTTTGCTTACGTTTGAAATTCTCCAGTGTCAAACACAGTTTAAAATGGTGTTATTCTGGCCTAATAAATTCTAACCTTTAAAACTCAAATCCCCAACTAACAAATGATTGAAGATCACAGGCAGGGACCAACACCATGGTTCAATAAGCTAAGCTTCGTTCTTCCTTGGAGCACCAGTACTCCATTTAGGTCCCACCATTTCATGTACTGGCTGTTCCACTCCCCACTCATCTCCATGCTGATAGCCAGGGAAATCAGCCCCTACACCCATGTGAGAGACCCAGAAGATGCTAGCTCCTGGATTCAAATCAGGTCAGGTCCAGCCATCTGGAAAACTTGGGGAGTGAACCAGCAGAGGGAAGATCCCTCCATCTCTGGGAATCTGCCTTTTAAATTAAAAAACACATAAATCTTTACAAAGAGTCGCATGAAAATTACCTTAGGCATTCAATCATGCGAGAAGCAATTTTCCTCCGCCGCATCATGCTGAATACCCAGATTCGACTGATCCCACAGATTGCAGGCTCTGGCAATGTGGAGCAGCACCAAGCTTTTTGCCTTTCAAATCTGACTTTTTCTTCTTCTGACCTGATAACTGGAAGCTTCTCTTCTATAACTCTGTATCCCTGGAGGTGTCAGAATTAGAGGGAAGATGTTCAACTGAGAATACACATTGGCAAATGGCTAGCAATGACCTTGCTGAGGCATTACCTTTCGCTGACCTCCTAACAAACTCTGGGGACTGACACATTCACTCTTTCAGAAAGCAGACAACCATTCATCTCCATTCTGTTCTCATTCACATACTAGATATGTAAACACGAGAGAAAGTCATCTCACTCCCTATACTTTGGGTCCCTTACCAGCGGCCTGAAGCTATCCCTCTCTCTCTGAGCCAATGGATCTGGTAACATTCAAAGAAATCCCTGCCAACATGAGTGGCCTGCCAGGAGAACTGGATGTCCATTGCCCCTTCTGCATTCCAAGGATCAGTGGGAGCTTGTCAAGCAGCCATCTTCTGATGGCTAGTAGCAAACTAGTATCCATTCCATAGTAAAAGGTGACTTTTCATAAGGTACTGTGTATTCCAAAAATCTACAAGAATTGATTTTCAATGAATGGACTTTCAATGTTCTCACCACAAATAGCATTGCATAAGGAGATATTTATGCTTACTCCAATTTATCAATGTAGACATGGAAACAAACATTGCATGGTTCCAGCATGATGCCTCTAACCTACATATTATTAATCTCTCCAGAGCTGCACACACTGCCTGGGTAGTCTTTCACCTAGGTGAGTGTTACACTTCTGTGAGAAAAGCAGCCAGTAGTGGTAGCTGATGGGCAACTGGCTCTAGTTAATGCCAAATGTGATAACTACACAAGTATACCAGGATATTGCTTCTTAAAAAAAAAAATGTGTGGAAGGGTAGAAGAACACTTGCCCAAGACAGGCCAACCTAATTCTTATCCTGGGGGCTACAGACTGCCCATGAAAGGGGTCTGGGATGTACTGGAGTAGGAGCAATAGAAGGCATATTTGACAAAGCAAGAATGACTTCTGGGGAATGACTTCTTGATTCACTTGTCCCCCTCCACCAATTTCTCAGGACTTTCTTCCCTTGGAACCCCTTCCTGTTACTATGACAGAAGAACTCTCTCTTCAATAAATCTTTTCACACGGGGAAAAAAAATATTTTTCTACAAAGTACTTGTGTACACTCTTTAAAATTACTTACCCATTGAATATGTTCTGCAATTAGACAGCCAACTACTTTCTTATCATTGGAAATGAAGAGAAGGGTTTTAGTTCTGGAATAGCACATTAATGGTGCCTGTTGGAAACCTAAATCATTATCCACCATCTCTCTAATCTCATCAACCTGTCGAAGAGAGAACAGATAACTCTTCACACAAGAACACTAAACATACATAAAAACATGCTACTTCCAGTCAGTTGAGTAGATCGTTCTAACTCAGGTATTCTCTCAAGAGCTCTCCGCGATGAATGCAGACATAACACCTTTCTTTAAGATTCATTTGTTTACTCACATATTTTAAGGAAAGGTAACAAAGAAGGAGAGACATAGGAAAAGAGAGCTCCCATCTCCTGGGTCACTCCCCAAATGCCTGCAATAGTCGGTGCTGGCCAGACAGAAGCCAGGATTCTGGAAATAAATCCATTCAGGTTTCTCAAATAGGTGGCAGGAATTTAAAAGACTTGAGCCACCATTACTAATCAATCTTTCTGTCTCCCTCCCTGTAACTCTTTCATGTAAAAAATAAACTAAAAAAAAAAAAAAAAAAAGTAATAATAATCCCTATTTTCAGGACTGGTGTAGAAATGGGTTGTGCCTGGGCCTGATGCTATGGCATAGTCACCACCTGCAGCACCTGCATTCCATCTGGGTGCCAGGTAGAGTCCTAGACACTCTAGTTCCCTGGTAACGTGCGAGGAAAAAGCAATGAAAGTTGGCCCAAGTGCTTGGGCTCCTGCACCCACATAGAAGACTGGGAAGAAATTCCTGGACTGTTCCTTCAGTGTAGCACAGCTCTGCCTGTTGCAGTCATTTGGAAAATGAACCAACAGATGGAAAAACTCCCTCTACACCCCACCAGAGATAGAGAAGGGAGAGAGAAATCTTTTCTTTTTAAAAGATTCATTATTCCTATTGGAAAGTCATTACTAAGAGGGAAGGAAAACAGAGATGAAGATTCTCCATCCTCTGGTTCACACCCTAAGTGGCCACAGTGGTTGGAGCTGGGCTGATCTGAAGCTAAGATCCAGGAGCCTCTTTCAGATCTCCCACACTGGTGCAGGTTCCCAAAGCTTCAGGCTATGCTCTACTGCTTTCCCAGGACACAAGCAGGGAGCTAGATGGGAAACGGACTAGCTGGGATATGAACTGGCACCCATATGGGATCCCAGTGCATGCAAGATGAGGGCTTTAAGATCTTAACCCACTGGCGAGTGCAGAAACCAGGCTGGAGTGCAGGTCATGCCGGGCTAGGGTATAGCACTTACTGGTTCACATGAGCCAGAGATGGGAGGAGACCGAGCAGGGCCAGGTTGTAGCACCCGCCAGCCAGAGTTGGGACTGGGGACTGACTAGGTCAGGCCTGGTTACAGCATCCAAAGACAAAGGCTAAGACAGATGAGGGCTATGCCAGGCTGGGTCAGAGCAACCACTGGCATGCATGAAATCTGTAGAGGGGAGCAGGCCTGGCTGGGGAGCTAAGGGGACGCCTTGGCCGGGTTGTGCTCCCCATTGGAGAGCACAAGGGCCAGGGTGGGGGCTGCGGTTTGGTCTGGATATAGCTGCAGAATCCCTCGGCATATGTGTGGGCTGGGTATGGGATGGGCCAGACTAGGCTAGAATCCAGTACCCACTGGTACTTGTGAGAACCAGGGTAGGTATAGGACAGGCTAGGCCAGGTCTTTGCCCCCACTGAGCCATGTGTCAACTGTGTCTGGATATGGAGCAGGCTTGGCTGGGCTGTAGCACCCACAAGAACCAGAATGGGTGAGGGCCGATGAGGAAAGGCCACTGTTCCTGCTAGGACAGGAGGTGGACCAAGTAGGGCTGGCCCATGAACCCAGATGTGTGCGAGATCTGGCATTGGGAGAGATTCGGATGGAGGAGCCTGGGGAACCCCTCTGTCAGGATACGCTCCCTGCAAGTGAGTGCAACAACCAAGATGGAGAGCAGCCCAGACCAGGCCAAAATATGTTACCCACAAGCATACATTTGGTGCAGGTCAGGGGTAGGCCAGACTGGGTCAGTCCACATCACCAACTGGCGAATCTGAGTGCCAGAATGGAGCGTGGGTTGGGCCGGGTCAGGGTGCAATACCAGCCAGTCCTCATGAGGACCAGGATTGGAGGTTGGCAGGGTTGGGCTAGGCTATAGACCCCACCAACGTGAGTTGGATTTGAGAGTGGGCCTGGCTACAGCACCCAATGGCAAATGCCAAGGTGAGGGGGCTGTGCCAGACTGGGCCACAGCACCCAACGAGCACATGGCCTCAAGGAGGGGACTGCGAAGGGCCCCCCTGCTGGGACACTACTCCCAGTGGTGATCATGAGAGCTGGGATGGGGGCAGATCAGGCCTGGCAGGGCCATATCCAATGGCCTACATGTGAGCGGATCAGGAAAAGCCAGGCTGAGCTGACTGTACCTTCTGGTACATGTATAAGCCAGGGTCAGTGTGGACTGATTGGGCTTTGCCGCAATATCAGCTGGCAGATGCTGACAGAGGAACCAAATTCTGTCAGGCATAGACATGGCCTAGACAGACGGTGGCATCCGCTAGAACCAGTGTGGCCTGGATAGTGGGGCTGGTTGGGATGAACTGGGCTTCAATACCCATCAACATGTACAAGAGCTGAATCAGATGTGGGACAGACCAGACCAGTCTGCTGTACATACTGGCAAGCACAGGAGCCAGGGAAGGGGTGAACCTGGTGGGGGTTTTTGTAAGTCGCACCGACTAGGCTGCAGCTCCCACTGGTTTAAGTGAAGGCTGAATATAGGGTGGGCAGGATTGGTCTGGGCTTTAATACCCACTGGGTTTCGTAAAACACGAGACTGGAGACAGAACTGACCCAGCCATTGCAACTACCAGTGTGTGTGAAGGCTGATTTGAGTGACAGATAGTGCCAGACCCTGTACTGACAAAAACAAATGAATCAGGTCTGGGATGGGCTCAGATAAAGTTTCTTTGGAGATTCCCTACCAAATGAACTGCTGGACTCAGAACCCTAATCATGGAGAGAACTGCAGGTTCCATGCGCTGACTGTGGGAGTGGATGTGTCAGAGCTGGGCCTCCTCAGTGGCTCAGACGGAACAGAGGACAGCACATCCAAATGTCCATGGAGGATTAGGGCAGTACATCGGAGCCTCCAGAGGACACCTGATACCATGGCAGAGGACAGAGGACAGAACAAATTGATCAACTATGATTGAACAATCATTGGCAGTGAAGATCTGGGCAGGTGGAGACACAAAGGTGGACTATAGCAGCCAGTGGGTTTGGGAGAGATTTCATCATGATTGGAGGGGTGGGATCGCCAGCAATTTAGGACTGTTGAACTATCAAAACCTCTTGAGAAATTCATGGTGTTGTAAATTTCTATTTTTCTTCCTGCTGTTAATTTTGTATTGTGGCTTTTCATTTAAGAGGGATGTGTGGTGACTGTGTAATGGAGACTATCATGTCCAGATGTGAAGTTGCAGTGCAGTGTGCATCTCTACTTCCAGATCAAAGATGAAACTGCTAGCTGCATCTTGACAATGGGAGGCTGGACTCTCTGCCATTGTCCATGTCCGCAATGATGTACACGTGACTGTTTATGAAGACCTATGCTATAGTAATAATATAGGGAAATTCGGTGGGGGAGGGGGCAAAGGAAATATAATTAGTTGATTTTTTTTTTTAAAGATGAGGGCTTTAGCCACTAGGCTACCGCACAGGGCCCTAGAGAGTAGACATTTCATACTCATTGGTCTACACACAAATGATAACAATGGCCAAAGCTGGATTGGTCAGGAGCTTCTTTGGGGTTTAAGGGAGAGCATGGGCCCAAGTACTTGCACCCTCCTCCTCTACTTTTCCAGGTCATTTAGCAGGAGCCAACTGCAAGTGGAGCAGCAGGAACTTGGCCCTTGTCTAAGTGGGACACCAGCACCATAGATAGCAGCTATTTCTTATGCTCTATGCTATAGTTACAACCCCAATAAAATCAATAAGTAAATGAAAGAAAGAGGGAAGGAAAGAAGGGAGGGAGGAACGGAGGGAGGAAGGAAGGAATTCAGCCCAACACAATAGCCTAGTAACTAAAGTCCTCACCTTGCATGTGCTGGGATCACATATGGGTGTCGGTTCATGTCCTAGCTGCTCCACTTCCCATCCAGCTCCCCACTACATCCTCCCAGTAGTGGATGACACAAAGCCTTGGGACCCTGCACCCATGTGGGAGATCCCAAAGAAGCTCCTGGCCCCTGGCTTCAGATCAGATAGGCTCAGCTCCAGCTACTGTGGCCATTTGGGGAGTCAGCCAGCGGATGGAAGATCTTTCTGTTTCTCCTTCTCTCTGTAAAATCTAACTTTTCAATAAAAAATAAATAAATCTTTAAAAAATAAGTATGCTATGTGCCATAAAATAGTATTATCAATTATATTGGATATTTGATTGGAAACTTACCTTTTTCAAGGCATACTTTGGGTCTTCAGGAAGAACCATTATTATCCTGCCATCAGGATATTCAGCCAGAATCCTTTCTTTTTTCCAGCCCTAGATAGAAAAAGGGATAAACAATATGTATAATTTTATTCAATATAGCCATATACAAGAAGAAAAGTATGTCAACGGGTCTAAAAACTGTTCACTGATGCTTAATAAGGCGAAACAACTATTTTGTTAGCATACAATATGAACAAAGCAAGGTAATTTCTGCTACTCAGATTTAATGCCACAAAACATTTCTAATTAATTCCTCTTGTTTTAAATTCATTTTGAAAATCACACATCAAAAGTAAGCCCCTTAAAGTCAGTCACTCCCAGAGCCAAACTGTCTTAGATTCCCAAGGTAACAATTAAACTCTTGAAATCCGTTGGAATATGGTGACCTCCACAAACGCACACTCATAGTTCTATGTCTGGCATGCCAGAGACCTCCAGGAGGCTTTACATGAACTGGTTTGCATGCAGTAGCCCAGAATGAAAGGTATTGTTTTTATTCTTATTGATCACAACTATCAAAGCCACAAGAAGGAGACTATAAAAAATATAACTACCTTCTAAGAATCTAATAGGGAAGGAGAGGCTACGTTGTGTGTATCTGAACTTAAACATACTCAAAAAAAGAGGTAATAAACTCTTCTTCAGATCCACACTCGTGGTGTTAATGAGCAGAACCTGCATGAAAAACAAAACAAAACAAAAGCCACTTAAATCTAGTAAGATGGGACTGAATCAGAGTTTCAAATTAGGAACTTTGAAGTTCAAAGTCAGTACAGAAGGAATGAGCTTAACTAACGCTCCATTTGTCTTACCCAACCAAGTTCACATTAAAAAAAAAAAAAAAGAAGAAGCCTTTTGAGAAGCAATCTGTAATTCTATTAGAGAAAATCATCACGGTTTATACATATATATATATATATTTTATATATATATATATATATATAATATATATATATTCCTTCTTCTAAGAACACAAAAGTTCAATGAAATCAAGAGAAAGATTGCTACATTTAAAAAATAGCCTATGACAAGCCTGGAAGGAGGCTGGCATTCTTGAACAGTCTGGAATGACTTCTGGTGGGAGGTAGGACATTAGCAGGGAACAAATAACCATGTAAGAAACTTGATACATGTAACGTTCAGATCAAAATATTAAAAAAAATTTTTTTTAATTTAGAAAATTAGATCATCCAAATGAAAAATAAAATCGGTGATAAAAACCAATTATGATGATAAAACAGACTCAGGAACTGTTAGGAAAAAAAGCTGAAACAGCAACCAAAGTCCTTTTTTAACAATAAACTCAGTCTGGACCATATTCAGGCTTAAATGTAGGTCAACTGTTTAAATGGCATAGAATGTACATCATCTCTATCAAAGGCAGGTTTATCTTAAGAGTTACTTAAAGAAAAAGCTTTTAAATGAGCCTGTTTTCCATAAGATGAAGACAGATGTTCTTCACTCAGAAAGTCACACATCCTAGACTGAATGAACTGCCTCATGTTAAAACTGAAAAGCTGACCTCACATTGCATATCAGATTATTTACTTATTATTTATTAATTACAAATTACTTTCCTTTACTAACTTTGCAGGATACAACTTTCCCTTAAAACAATTTGAGATTTACATGTTCATACAGAACATTTTATCATAATTGGATTTGATGCAACTTGGCTTTCAATAATCAACTTTCATGTACTAAATCAAAGACCTTTACATCTAAGAAGCAAGAAATGTAAAAGGCAGGGATACTATTGCTTTTTAGGTTCATGCAAACAGCATGCTTAGCAAAGAAAAAAAAAAAAAAAACCTTTAACCATAAAATTAAGTACTACAAAGTATAGAAGTTCACAGATTAGTTCCATGTTCTTGGTAGATATCAGACGCGTGGCTTGGGCAACCGCTGGAGTAGTTTCACTCCACGGAACTTCTAGTCTCCCTCCCTCCAGTACCAAACTATGATCAATGTACAATGCTGAGAAAACAGCCACATAAGAAGATGTCCCTAAAATTAAATACAAAAACCAATGCAAAGCATGGACAACAAAGGTTAAAGAACCAAGTTGGCTAATGTCTGTCAAGAAACATAACTCAAGACATTGCTGTACCTCAGTTACAGTTCACACTGTATTGTCCCCAATAAGCACAGGACTCCAGTAAGTTTAGAAAGGACCAAGTCTATCAGCTGCCTGGAACTGCCACACAAGGCGACACTGGTACCTGCACGTGCACCTTAAAGGCATCGACACATAGCCACAGCACACTTACGCTTCTCACCTTTGCCCTAACATGTCACATATATCCTCCTGCCAGCAAAGAATATTTTCTAAAACCCAAGATTCCTTATTTCATCCATAGGCTACTGAAAAGCAGGAAAATTTAAAGTAATAATCTAAATTTCTAAGAGCAAGCAACAATAAGTCTTCTCTTCTTCCTGTGACAGTAACTCTAACTTTAGAAGTTGCAAAAAATCTCCCCAGCACTCTGACCTCGGGTTTCCAGCCTCTAGAACCGTGAGAAAGTAAGTTCTATTGTTAAACAACAGAGAACAGCGAAAGAGAGGAATTTAGAAGCCGAATTATACTGAAAGGTTCAACTCAACCCTAATCTGATCTAGCACAATACCAACAAGATTTCAGAGATCAGTTCCACCTCCTAATTAACTGAGAGGAAAAAAGGGACAGCTCTCAGCGCTAGGGAGGGGATATTATCGACCTCACTCTGCTACTCCTTCATTACAATGTTCAATAAAAGCTTACAAAAGCCAACAGAAAGGTTCAATCTTGTGTTTTCCTAACAGTGCTACTAAATTCAATCCCACTCAGGATCTCAACAAATCACCAAGAAAGTTTATATGGGGCCTGGAGCAGTGGCCTAGCTGCTAAAGTCCTTACCTTGAACACACCAGGATCCTATATAGGCACCAGTTCTAACACTGGCAGCCCCACTTCCCATCCAGCTCCCTGCTTGTGGTTGGGAAAGCACTCGAGGACAGCCCAATACCTTGGGACCCTGCACCCGCGTGGGAGACCCTGAAGAAGCTCCTGCCTCCTGGCTTTGGATCGGCACAGCTCTGGCCATTGCGGTCACTTGAGGAATGAATCATCGGACAGAAGATCTTCCGCTCTGTCTCTCCTCTTCTCTATGTATATATATCTGATTTTGCAGTAAAAATAAATCTTTAACAAGAAAAAAAAAATTTATATGAAGAATAAAAAAGGCTCAGTATAGCCAACAAAAAATGGAAGGAAATCCACTTCAAGATTTGCTATAAAGCTAAAAAGATAATCCAGACAATGACTGGGACTGATGAAAACATCCACTTCTGGTCCAGCTCCCTGCTAACAGCCTGGGAAAGAAGCAGAGGACATTCCAAGTTGTTGCGATCCTGCACCCACATGACAGACCTGGAAGAAAATTCTTGGCTACTGAACAGCCTGGTTCCAACTGCTGCGACCATGTGAATGGAAAAATCTATGTCCTCTTTTTTTCTTTTAAATATTTTTTTTATTGGAAATTCAGATTTAGAGAGATGAGAGACAGAAAGGTCTTCCATCTGCTGGCTCACTCCCCAAGTGGCCACAGCAGCCAGAGCTGAACCAACTGGAAGCCAGGACCAGGAGCCTTTTCCAGGTCTCCCATATGGGAGCAGGGTCCTAAGGTTTTGTGCCATCCTTTAATGCTCTCCCAGACCACAAGCAGGGAGCTGGATGGGAACTGGAGCAGCTGGGATACAAACCGGCACCCAAATGGGATCCTGGGGCATGCAAGGCGAGGCTTTAACCACTAGGCCTCCACACCAGGTCCTCTCCTCCTATCTCTACTTATTTTTCAAATAAAAATATATACAGTTTAAAGAGACAGAGAATAAGCCCAGAAATCAAGAAATAGTCACATAAACAGTCAACCAATCTCAGACACACCAGAAAAGCCAAGACACTGGAGAAAAGAGGCTACAACTGAGTATGTACATTAAAACAGAGTATCTAGACAGAAACGTGAAACCCAAATAACAAACTCATACAAGATACTAAAGAAGAAAATCTACATGAATTTATATATAGCAACAATTTTATATTCAGCACCAGAATACAAACCTTGAAAGAAACAAATAATTCATCAGAAGGAATTCCTTAGAAACCAAAGCTCTGTCCACAGAACATGCCATCGAGAGAATGAGGAAACAAGCCACAGGCTAGGTGAGAAAGTCACAGCAGCTCTATAATAACTGAATGGGATATGAAGAATAACGGAACCTAACTATAAAGAATTCTAAAAATTTAACAAGAAAATTCACAATCTGACTTTAAAGGTGCAAAGTGGGGCAAGTATTCCGCCTAGCAGTTAAAAGGCTTAGCAGTTAGGATCCTCACATCCTACATCAAAGACCCTGGACTTGGGACCGGCTCCCAATTCCAGCTTCACCTAATACAGAATCACTAAGGCCTCAGACGATGTCCCAAGCACGTGGGTCTCTGCCACCTATCTAGCAGACATGGAGTGAGGTCCCAGATCCTGCCTCTACCACATTGGTGGTTTACAGGAATTTTGGGGCTGAACCAGTGGATGGAAACACACTCACTCACACTCACAACTCTCTCTCTCTCTCTCTCTCTCTCCCTCTCTCTCTCGCCAAGGGTAGGGGAGAGGGACAAGGGTTAATTAATGAACAGATAGCTCACCAAAGAGAGATCAATAGCAAATAAGCCATATGAATGTGCTCCGCATCATATGGCATTAAGGAAATGTTTAGGGGAAAAAAAAAGGTAACCAGATGGCACTATACATCTACTGGAATGTGCAGAATCCAGAACACTATTCCCCCAAATGTCAGCAACGATATAAAGCAAGAAGATTGCCAACTGCTGGCAAAAATTCAAAATAATGGGCCTAGAGCGGTAGCCTAGTGGCTAAAGTCCTTGCCCTGCACACATCAGGATCCCATATGGATGCTGATTCATGACCTGGTTGCCCCACTTCCCTTCTGGCTCCGTTTGTGGCCTGGAAAGCAACTGAAGAAAGCCCAAAGCCTCGGGACCCTGCAGTCGTGTGGGAGATCCAGAAGAAGCTCCTGGCTCCTGGTTTTGGATTGGATCAGCTCCACCTGTTGCAGTCACTTGGGGAGTGAACCAGCAGATGGAAGATCTGTCTCTCCTTCTCTGTAAATCTGCCTTTCCAATAAAAATAAATCTTACGAAAAAAAAAAAAAATCCAAAGTAACACTCAATCTGGCAATTACTTACAAAAGGATAAGAGCACTCTAAATCCACATACTCCTTGATATCTTCCCAAGAGTTGAAAAAGTGTGCCTACATGAAAAAGCTACACAGATGACCAAAGGGCAGCTTCGGTCACAATTCTCAAAACCTCAGAAGCAACAGATGTCCTTTGGTTGCTCATCCTCACCACGGAAAGGGACGCAGCACTACAAAGAAAAGAGCTGTCAAGTTAGGACAACACATGGGGAGCCTCAGCCATGTTACTGAGTGAAAGAAGCCAACCTGAAAAGGCAAATGCTGCTCAATTCCAACAATGTACCATTTGCAAAACAGAAAACTAAGGAGAGAGGAAAAACATTCAGTGACTGTTACAGATTAGAAATAGAGACAGACGGATAGGCAGAGAATTTCTGCGGCAGTGAAACTATTTCATGCCATCTCACATTGGCCAAAAGCTGTCGAACATAAATACCGAGGGCGAATCTAAATGCAGAGTATGGAACCTGGATCATAATGATGTGTCAACTGAGGTTTATCAATTTTAACAAATGCATCATCCTGTTGGAAAAGACTGTATGTACATGCAGACAGACAATTGCACTCTGCTCAACTTTCCCCTGGATCCAAAGTTACCACAATAAATAAATTAATTATATATATATATATATATATTTTTAAATTTGTTGGAAAAAAAAAAAGAAAGAAAAACAAACTGAAACAAACACCACTCAGGCCCGACACATTAGCCAAAGCCCTCGCCTTGTAATTTCCAGGATCCCATATGGACGCTGGTTCATACCCTGCCTGCTCCACTTCACATCCAGCTCCCTGCTTGTGGCCTGGGAAAGCAGTCGAGAACAGCCCAAAGCCTTGTGCCCCTACAACCACGTGGGAGACCCAGAAGAAGCTCCTGGCTCCTGGTTTCAGGTCGGCTCAGGTCTGATCATTATGGCTACTTCGGAAGTGACAGTGGATAAAAAATCTTCCTCTCTGTATCTGTTCCTCTCTGTATATCTGCTTTTCCAATGAAAATAAATAAATCTTAAAAAAAAAAAAAAAAACCCACTCAGAAACAGGAAATGTCAGTCCAGGATCAAGAGGAAGTAAGAAAACAGAAGCAGATCTAGAGATGATCCAGATGTGTAAATTAGCAGAAAAAGCTTGAAGACAACTATTTAAGGGTCAGCACCAGGATTTAGTTGGCTATGCCAAGGCCTGCAGAACCAGTATCCTATATGAGCAATGGTTCATACTGCTTCAATAATTTATCTTTTATTGGTAGCTTGTGATTATTTTTCAGATTTTGTTCTAAATTTCAGAGCAAGGACAGATCTTAGAGCATGAGAGTAGTTTCTTTCAGAAGGCAATCAGATGTGAATTAATTCAAAGATGATAAAGAGGAACTGGGTTGGGAGTGGGGAGTAATTTCACAAAGTGGCATAGTAGGTAAAGCAACCACCTGCTATGCCAGATCTCATGCACGCCATTCCAGCTCCCTGCTAATGCCTGGGAAAGCAGCAGAGGATGTCCTGAGTGCTTGGGCACCCATATGGGAGACACAAATGCAGCTCCTGTGGCTGAAAGGTCCAGCTGGGAAGTGAATCCAACTAATTGACAGACCACCTTTTTCTCTAACTCTTTTACAGACAGAAAGAAACCAACCAAACACTATTCTGCCTGAATTTCTACAAGCCCAGAATATAGATGAATTTCTTATGGGTCAACATGGCTCAGTGTATCAGAGAATTCTTGCAGCATTCTCTTCACCTATAAGTACCTTTTCTTTCCAGCCAGCAACAAGCAATGGACATCACTTGGGAAAACTTTCACAAGCACAAAAAAAAAATGGAGGCAAAATAAAGTTCTGCCATAATAAGTGTTAAGTATAAGCTGCCAATACTAAGATTGCCAATTCAAAGCGAGGAGCCAGCAGCTTCTTCCGGGCCTCCCACATGTGTGAGAGTTCCAAGGCTTTGGGATTTCTTCGACTGCTTTTCCAGGCAGGAAGCTGAAGGAGTATCTACCTTAGACTATGCAGCTTACATCTGAGTGCTACCCAAAAACATTGATCTTGATGTCAGGAAAGGATGGTCAACTGCTAAACTCAATTCCTTCACTTGAGGTTTTTTCAACAATAAACCAGAGCCCAGCACAGTGGCCTAATGGCAAAAGTCCTTGCCTTGAATACACTGGGATCCTATTTGGATGCAAGTTTCAATCCCAGCAGTCCTACTTCCCATCCAGCTCCCTCTCTGCTTATGGCCTGGGAAAGCAGTCAAGGACGGTCCAAAGCCTTGGGACCTTGCACCCGTGTGGGACTTGGAGGAGACTCCTGGCTCCTGGCTTCGGATCAGCACAACACTTGCTGTTGCAGCTGTTTGGGAAGTGAATCATTGGACGGACGAGCTTCCTCTCTGTATCTCCTCCTCTCTGTATATCTGACTTTCCAATAAAAATCAAATACTGGAAAACCAAATAAACCTAAACCATAGCTCTGTGCCATCAAAGGGATATGAAGGTCAACTGAGACACTAATCAACATACTCTTGGTTGCTACACTACTCAGAAGCTTTGAAAGAGAGCCAGGAATTTTGTAAAAGACAATGGCTACAGCTTGTTCCATAAATAATTTCCTTTGATAACTTGAAAGAACAAAGTATTAATTTCCTGACTGATGTCTTTACTGTTCCTTTCAAACATTAAAATGTCTCTGCAAGGTAAAATAAACATTTAAAGATAATATTTTTATAATTCTAGGAAACTATATAACAGCCAGAATTAAACAATGTAAATAGTAGAAATGACTTTAACTTATACTAGGTTTGTGTACATAAAATAAACTGGAATATTTTTGCCTCAAAAGTATTCCATAGCTTAGTTATCCAACAGAACTATTTGTATTTTCAAAATAGCAGAAATATTAATACAGTCAAATTGGCTAACTACAAAATCAAAACCCTAAATATCTACTTAGACATTCTTATGTTCACACACACATATTCTCCTTAGTGAAGTGGTAGAAGGAAATGTGTGAAAAAGGTGAATGCTACAGGAATATAATGAATATAATGAACGGTAGCAAAAAAAGAAAGCCTCATCTTCCTGAGTAGAAGCAACTGGTTTAATAAAACAATGATGAAACAATGAATACACACCCATCAAATAAGGGCAAGTGTATGAATTTGAGGCCAATACAGACTTTTAAACAATGCAGCACCTAATTCCTATATAAAGGCCAATATGAAATGAATTGGTGATCTCAGTTCAGATATCCTGGAGGTCTTGTTATTCTGAGTGTACACTACTAAAGATAACACGTATGAAATAGGAAGATTTGATTTCAAATTTGGATAAAAAAGTTATACTGAATTACTATTTTCACCAGACATCTGAAATGATTCAAATTACTAAAAATTCTATTTCCAGAAACATTTAAATAATATCCTTTAAGCCTCAAACACACTTTAGAAATATATTTTATCAATTTTTTTTTTACTTTGAGATATTTAATATATCACAAAAATTCTGAGGTCTTAATCATTTAGAATTTTTCTTCATTAATTATAAAGAAAAACTCTCATGAAAGCAAAGAAAAGGTAAAGGAAATCCCTAACCAATATAGAAAATGTATCACACTCATTCTCAAATCCCAAAGTTGTTCCAAACCATTTAAGTATTAATTAGTTTAACCGTAATTTATTAACATCAAAGACATTTTTAAAAATTAATACTTCAGTTGAATACCATGATGTCTTAGAATGGGCAACAAAACTACTTCAGAAAAATACAATTTACATTTAAAATCCCACAACACTAACCAGTCAGAATAGATTATCTGGCTTTATGTTTGGATTTGCTTGAAAATAAGCCAGTGTATTTACCATGCCATCTACTAAAAATATTATTTTCAAACATGAGATTTTTTTCAATGATTGGAATTTGGCCATTCACTACATTACAATTCTGACCTAATATTTGGTATCTGTAATCTAAAATTCAAATTCCACTTACCACATATTTTACAGCACTTATAAACTGGTTATGGAAAAGCAGATGCTGTGTTTCATCTTCTGGATTTGAAGCTGTGTACAGCATTCCACAAATACTGCAGGAAACTGCTCCAAATCTTTTTTGCCCTGCATCCTATTTACAAAAAACAGACAGTTTTTTCCCCAACCAAAAGAGTTTCTATCATTTAAGCCTTAATGTTGCAAGAGAACATAGAGACAGAACTACTGAATCCATAAGTAACATCCAATATTCATTCCAAAAATTCAGGTGCTAATACCTGAAATCTGACTAAATTTACAATAAAATATTTTAATTTTTAGAAAATATTTATTTTTACTTTTATTAGAAAGCCATATTTACAGGGAAAAGGAGAAACAAAGAAGATCTTCTGTCCACTGGTGCACTCTCCAAGTAGCCTCAACCTCTAGAGAGGAGCCAATCCGAAGCCAGGAGCCCCGGGCCTCCTTCCAGGTCTCCCATGCAGGTACAGGGTCCCAAAGCTTTGGGCCATCCTCGACTATTTTATCAAGCCACAAGCGGGGAGCTGGATGAGAAGTGGAGCAGCCAAAACACAAAACAAGTAGGGAGCTGATTGGGAAGTGGAGGATGCAAGGCAAGGATTTAGCCACTGAGCCATCATATCCAGCCCAACACTTTTAAAGCAATTGAGAAACAGCTTCAACAACTATATAGTCCTAAAGTTGGAAACATCACATATCTACAGAATACTGTTTTACCAACTCCAATTACTCTAATTATAAATGTCTTAAAAAACTGTTCTGTTTTAGATACCTCACAGATATTTTTCTAAAAATTCATCTGGGGCTCAGGCTAGGGAAGGTATCATGGTAAAACAGACTAATCCTCCACTCTGTGGCACCGGCATTCTACATGAACATTGGTTCTAGCCCACACTGCTCCACTCAGGATCCAGCCCTCTGCTTATAGTCTGGGAAACCAGAGAAGGACAGCCCCAGTTTTTGTGACTCTGCACACAAATACAAGATCTGGAGAAATCTGAATCCCAGTGTCAGATCAGCTCAGTACTGGACACTGCAGCCATTTGAGAAGTAAATAAGGGGATAAACCCATTCTCCAGCTCTCTTTCCCTCTGTAAATATGTCTTGCAAATAAAAACAAATCAATCTTTTAAAAAATTAATCTGGAGCAGACATCATGGTGTAATAGTTAAGACATCACGTACAACACCAGCATCCTGTCTGGTTCCTGTTTCAGGTCCTGGCTGCTCCACATCTGTCCCAGCTTCCTCCTAATGCATGTGACAAAGCCCCGCACCTACGCAGGAGATCCCAAATACAGTTCCTGGCTTTGGCTTGGCTCAGCCTGGGCCCCTGTGGCCATTTAGACAGCAAATCAGCAGACAGAAGGTCTCTTGTTCTCCCTTTCCAACTCTTATCTTTCAGCTAAATAAAATAAATCCCAAAAAAAGGTCTGATCAAAAACTCTGAATAAAAGATAATTTTCCCATTCTCTCCATATTAAGTAAGCATGAAAGTCTGACTACAAATCACTTATATTCCAGTAATCCATGTGTCTCATACAAGTTTTTCACCAAGTATTTTCTATTCTTGTGTTTATTTGGTAAGACTATTTCAGTAAGATCATCTAAATTTAAGAATAAACTTAAAAGTACAGGTACTCTTTTTTTTTTTACTATTTCAGCATTTCACAAGATTCGTGCAAATTTTGTGGTTCTAAGTGATAAACAGATCTTACACATATATTTTATGCATTCATGAGATTTCTTTTTCTTAACTTTTTTAGTATTCTTTGGCCTGTAAGTTTTTCAATTTACTGCTATTCTCAACAGAGAAAAAAAAAATCCCCATCTAAATGGCCTTACACAGTTCAAACCCATGCTGTCCTGGGATCCGTCATTACAGACTAATCAATGAACATCAGCTTTTCAATTTTTGACTGTTACGATTAATGAGAATACATATAGAAGTTTCTCTTTGAACAAGCAATTTTCCCTATAACAAGAAAAGTGTTCCAGTCTCATGGTCAATAAAGTTTTCTTGCAAAGTTTAATTTCGTTAATGTTAACAGAAAACATGAAACAATGTACTGAAAAGTATTAGCAGGTATTATCATTAACATTTTAATGATCAACCCTTGACCAGCATTATCCAGTGGAAATATGATTCACAAAATAAAAACAAACAAAAAAAAAGATTTAACTGATTTCTACGCATTTCTGAAAACATTTTAAGCATCACAATTTCAAAATATATTCAATATTAAAAACTCATTCTGAAATGATTTAATCATTTTGTACAGGTCTTTGAAATTCAGTTTGCAGTTTTTATACTGACAGCATAGCTTAATTCTGATCATGTATTTCAAATGTTCAACAGCCACACACACTTATCATACTGTATAATACAGTTCTAGACTTTCTAATCCTTATTCTCTATCACATTGATCTGAAAATAGAAACATTGGCTGTGGGTAAGTCAAATATTCTCCTCACTCTGCTTTGTGAAAAACTTCTGGACAATTCTCACCAAGTTATTCTCTAATATTAATGTCAAAGTACATTGTCCAGTTGCAAAAGCTTCGCTAATTGTATTGACTAGAACTACATTAAATGCCCCAATTATTTTTTTCCTTTCTCATTCTTTTATTATTCTCCCTCTCCCTTTCAAACAAATACATGTATCTTAAGAAAAATAATAGGATGACGGCAACATTTCTCAGAAAAGATGAAGCTCTTTACTTACTATGACCAACTGCTTTTCATCAGCTTTCTCTGATTCTTTTAGCTTCAAGTCCTTTGGAACTGTTATCTCAAAATGTGAATTACACTTAGGCCAAAAATGATTTGGTGATATCGCCCTAGGAAAAAACATTAAATATTATAAATTTATAGCACCCCAAATTACTGGAGGAAAAAAATAATTTATTTCCCATTGAAGACTGATACATTTCAACTTCAACTAGAAAAAAATAAACTTTTTTTAAAGACTTATTTTTTTATCACAAAGTCAGATATACAGAGAGGAGAAGAGACAGAGAGAGGAAGATCTTCCATCCGATGATTCACTCCTCAAGTGACCGCAACAACCTGGAGCCAGGATCCAAGAACTTCCTCCAGGTCTCTCACACGGGTGCAAGGTTCCAAAGCATTGGGCCGTCCTCAACTGCTTTCCCAGGCCACAAGCAGAGAGCTGGATGTGAAGTGGAGCCGCCAAGATTAGAACCAGCACCCATATGGGATCCTGGTGCATTCAAGACAACGACTTCAGCAGCTAGGTCACGCCACCGGGCCCAAAAATTACCTTTTAAGAATAAGGAGCAGGGCCTGGTACAGTATCCTAGTGGCTAAATCCTCTCCGTGCACACTCTAGGATCACATATGGCACTTGTTCGTATCCAGCTACTCTACTTCCCATCCAGCTCCCTGTTTGTGGTCTGGAAAAACAGAAGAGGATGGCCCAAAGCCTTGGGACCCAGCATTAGTGTGGGAGACCTGAAGGAGGGTCCCAGTTTCTAACAGGCTCAGATTCAGCTGCTGAGGCCACTTGGGGAATGAATTAGTGGATGAAAGACCTTTCTGTCTCTCCTCTCTGAGTCTGTCTTTCCAATACAAATAAATATTTTTTTAAATACTCTGAATATCAAAGGGAGCAACAGCTAAGAAACAGAATCAACCAAAATGTCTGACAACAAGATAGAACTGAAACAAAAGGATACCTCAAAGAATGAAATGTTACCAAGTGCAATATGGGTGAGCCTGGAGGACATGATAACAACTGAACCAAGTTAGGCACAGAAAGACAAACTCCGCATGATCTCATGTATGTGTGGAAGTTAATGCTGATTTTAAAAAGTTGGCAAAATAGTGGTTACCAGAAAAGGTGGGGAAGAGGGATGGAGAGATGGTGTGGTGGTAAATGGGTACCAAGGTGCAGATGGAGAGGAGGAGCCAGTGGAGTGTTTCTTAGCACAGTAGGACAATAGAGGGATACTCAAAAACGTTCACGGGAAAAGGACATTTTGATACAAAAAAATTTTTAGTTCAATCATTTAATTCAGCTGTTATGAATTAATAGTTCAAAAGAACTATTGGGGAGAAGTCTCAATATTCCAACAAAAAGAAATGTGAGGCCAGTACTGTGTTATATTGGGTAAATCTGCCACCTGCAATATCAATTTTCCACAGAGGCACTTGTATATGTTTTGACTGCTTCACTTGTGATTGAACTTCCTATTAATGTGCTTGGGAAAGGATATCGTAAAGGATGACTCAAGTCCTTGCGCCCCTGCACCCATATGGAAGACCCAGAAGAAATGCTGAGCTTCAGCCCAGCCCAACTCCAGCCACTGCAGCCATTTAGGAAATGAAGTGAATGGAATCTCTCTACTGCTCGCTGTCTCTCCCTCTCTAACTCTCCCTTTCAAATAAATGATAAATCTTTTTTTAAAAGAGAACTACTTAAGGTAGAGAATATGCCAATTACCTTGATTTTATCATTACACACTACATGTATGCATTAAAAGATCATCATGAACAGGCAAAACGATTATCTATCAAATAAACTAAAACTAAAGCATAAAATACTAATTTTTAACGAACACCTATATCACCTACTATAGTCTGACTATGCTGTTTTATAGTGTCAGCACGTCACTACAGTTTTAATAGCAAAGTCACAACATGTATTAAATATTGCTTCTTCGTAATTTAAAAGGCAAAGTAAGATGTATTTAATGATAACACTGAAAAGCTTGAACCTACTTGAAGTACTCTTACATGTTGATAATACACAGTATTTACAGAAGTAGGTACAAAAAAAAAAACAGCCACTTTGGAAGGAACTGAGGCACTAAGGTTGTCTCAGCTATGAATCAATCCTAGGAATAGTCACGGAAGTGTATAAAAATGCACATGTTGTTGCAAAATGGTTTCGTGACAAACTGGAAAACTAAAATTTCAATAAAATTGAGCATAAAGCAAAGAACAGTCACACAACAATGTCTCACACAGAACTGAACAGTTAAAAAGGCACAACAGATTCCAAGGCACTTTAAAAGAACAAACAGGAAAAAATAGTTATTTGGGCCCAGCAGCGTGGCCTAGCAGCTGAAGTCCTTGCCTTGAATGCACCAGGATCCCATATGGGTGCTGGTTCTAATCCCGGCAGCTCCACTTCCTATCCAGCTCCCTCCTTGTGGCCTGGGAAAGCAGTCGAGGACGGCCCAAAGCCTTGGGACCCTGCACCCGTGTGAGAGACCTGGAGGAAGTTCTTGGTTCCTGGCTTCAGATCGGCACAGTACCGGCCGATGCGTCACTTGGGGAGTGAGTCATCGGATGGAAGATCTTCCTCTCTGTCTCTCCTCCTCTCTGTATATCTGACTTTGTAATAATTATAAATAAATCCTTAAAAAAATAAAAAAGTATAAAGTTATTTAAGAGTACACATAGGCACAGAGAAAAGTGTAATGAAAAGAATAAACTGACGGACGGTTACCTACTTTCTGTTCTTAGGGAAAAATTTCCATACTCAAAACTCTTTATTTAGTCTTTTAGCTCACAAATACACACCTGCATTAAACTAGCACCTTACCTGCTATCACCGTTCTGAGATGTGTGGTCATCCACTGTACTGTGCTGTTTGGGAGATGAACCTGTAATTTAATCAAGAAAATGTGTTTCAATGTGACGCTCTGTATCAAATGATGAAAACTATACCGAAAGAAAAATTCTAGTGCATAAAATGCTTTACTTTCAATAAAGATCATTTGTTAAACCAGAACCAGCACCTAGGAATGTTTCTTCAGAAGCAGCAGAAAGGACATGTCACGCTTAGGTCACAGCACTACAAAGAGATCTCATGGTAGAGTAAGTTTACTTCTAATTTCCCCAATTACTAGCATTAGGCAGTGGAAATTATTTCAATGCCATAATTATACAATATCTAAACGTAAATAACTAAAAGATTTCCTTGTTAAAAAATTATCCTCCCATAACAAGTGCAGTATTATGGTACTCTACCCATGGCACCGGCATCCCACACGGGTGCTGGTTTGTGTCCTCCCTGTTCCTGCTTCCCTGCCATCTCCCTGCTTGTGGCCTGGGAAGCCAGTAGGGAATGGCACAAGCCTTGGGACCTCACACCCACATGGGAGACCTGGATGATGATCCCGGCTCCTGGCTTCAGATTGGCTCAGCTCCGGTCACTGTGGCCATTTGAGCAGTGAATTAACATATGGAAGATCTTTCCCTGTCTCTCCTTCTCTCTGTTAATCTGATCAGCCTTTCCAATAAAAAAAAAAATACATTTTTAGAGAAAATAATGTAGTATAAGTGGATAATTTAGAACAGTGTTGCTTTAATTCTTGTCCTTACTATTTACATAGTTGAGGGGGATGCCCACCCATGTGGACCTCTGGTACGCGTGGGGAGGCTCAGGTATAGAAGCTGGGTAGGACAAGGCTACTCCTTGCTGTAAAACTACATCAGCCCCCGAAGTGAAGGTTGATTATTTGATACCCCAGAGACCCTAAAGTGGGGAAGAGTGTTCCGAGAGTGTTACCTGAGTGGTTTCAATAACCCTGAGATGATGGTTTTGTTGTACCAGTTTAAGAAAACCTTCCCAAGGTCTACTGGTAGACAAAGTCTATTTTAATGCATCCAGGCACGTGTGTTGCAAACCTTGGCCAGGAGAATTGTCCAACCTATTATACTTTCCATCTTCTAATGAGACAGCGGACAACTACTATTGGCCTAGATGAACTGGATGCCATATCCCCCATGTGAATCTGCACATGCTGTCCACTGCACAGGCATCAGCAACTGAGAAGGCCCAGTCCCAACACATGTACTGCAAGGTCAGACAACATACTGTGATTTCCCCTGGACCTGTGGTCAGAGTCTATGGGTCCAGCTGGGGAGTCCACATACTGGTGGATGCAACAGCTTGATCAGTTTCACCTCAGCCCCATACATAACTTGAACCAATGGCTACTGCAGCCCTGTACAGCCAGTCTGCCACAGATCTCGTTTTCATGCATACCAGAGGATGCCACAGCTTACTCAGAGTTACTCCTAACAACCCTCACCAGGCCTGCCCCAGACCCAGTTTTTGGGCATGCCAGGCTCTGTGTGACCTAGCCCAGCCGAGCCCACATCCTATTCAGTTCTCACATGGGTACTACAGCTTAGCTCAACCCAAGCCACCCCCAGACCCAGTCCTTACATATGCCAACAGGTGCCGCTGCCTTATCCAGCCTGACCTGCACCCAACCCTGGCTCTTGTGCTCAACAGCGAAAGGAACAGCCTAGTAAGGAAGTGCCCTCATGTTCCCCCACCAGGGGGAATATCCCCAGCCTTAGATCTTGTGCCTGCCAAGGATACTGTAGTCCAGCCTGACATGACTTACACCCAGTCCAGAAACTTGCCAGCTGGTGCTGCACCCTAGCTTGGCCGGCCCGCACCCATTCTGGCTTGTGTTCATCAGCGGTACAGCAGTCTAACCCAATCTGGCCTGTACCCAGTCCTAGCTCTCAGGTTCACTACTGAACGCATCAACACAGCAAGCAATCCCCACAATGCCCCCTGCCCAGCCTGCTCCCAGTCCCAGGCCTTGCGTATGCCATCAGGTGCTGCAACAGTCTGAGATGGTCTGCCCCTAGTCTTGGCATTCACCAGTTGGTGCTACATCCTGGTTTAGCCTGGCCAGCCCCCATCCCCAGCTCTCTCTGTTGGGTGCAGCAGCCTAATCCAGCCCAGCCCATGCCTAGCCCTTATGCAAACTAGCAGGTATTGCAGTCCAACTCAGCCTGGCTTTCACCCCATCCTGGATCACATTCATGCCAGTGTGAGCTGTTTACTGCCCTGCCCAGCCAGCCCCAAAGGCACCTCACACATGTGCGGAAGGACGCTGCAGCTCAGCCTGGCCTAGCTTGCTCCCAGCGTTACCAGCAGTAGCTGTGCCTAGTAACAAATTTCTACAAGTGCCCCACCAGGCCTACTTGGAGCCCCAGATCCCACAGGTACTGCTGGGTACTTTCTGCAGCCTAGTTCAACCAGCCCACACCTTATTCTTGCTCTCACTGATGGGTGCTACAGCCTAGCCCAGCCTGGCTATGACTAGACCCAGTTCCCACGCGAACTGCAGGTGACAGTCTAGCCTAGCCTGCCCACACCAACTGTGCTTCACCCCCAAACCAAACCCACACACATGCCAACTACATCTTTGCCCAACCCTGCCTGCCCCATTCCAGTTCTTGCACTCACCAGTGGGAGCTGCAACCCAGCAGGGGGAGTCCCTGGAGTTCCCCTACCACTAGTATTCCAGGCACAGAATGTTACACATGTGGGTGGTTCAAACCAGCTTGACATGACCCACTACAGTTCCACCTCTTGCTGATGGATATTACAGCCCAGCCCAGATGGGCATGGCCCACACTCTGTCCTGGCTCTAATGCTTTTCAGTGGATGCTAAGGCCTGGTGCAGTCTGACTTGTCCCCAGACCTGGCCCACACAAACATGAAAAAGTGCAGCAGTCTTTCCTGGCCTGACCTGCCCCAAGTCCCAGCTCCCACGTTCTCCAGTGGGAGCTGCAGACTAGCAGGGGAGTTCCCCCCACCCCAAGTTCCTCTAGCAAGCCTACTCCCAGTGCATGCCAGTGGAGGTAGTGGCCCTACTTGGCATGGTCTGGCCTCAGCCCCAGCCCTTCCATGTACCAGTAGTGCTGCACCCTGGCCCAACCAGCCCACACCCACTCACTGGAAGTATCAGGTAGGTCCCTTTCAAGTAAATTCCATGGTCCCTAGTTGGGCTCATCACTGCCCCAGCTCTCCATGTAAACCATAGGATGCTGCAGTCCTACAGAGGGGAGTCCACAATTTCCCTACTGAATCTCCCCCCTAGAACTGTTCTCTTGCATTTCACTGGGTACTATGGCCCAGCCTGACATGGCCCACCCCCTGCTCCGACACTCATGGATGGGTACTGCAGCCTCGCCAGTAATACCCAGTTATGCCTAGGCCCAGCTTCTGCAAGTGCCATTGGATGGTGGGTGATGTTGTTTAGCTCAGCCCAGGACTCCCACATGGGCAAGTACCCTGTCCTGATCCAAATATGCTCTCTGATTTCTACTTCTAAAACACTCCATCTTAGTTCTTCTGACCACCTGGGAGTGCAGTGGCCTGGTCTGTGGAAGGCCCCAGAAATCACTCCTTCCCTGTCAAATATGCCCTCAGTTGCTCCCATTGCAATGCATCACCAGATCCCTTCCCCAGGCAATCTATAGCCCACCCACCCAAACTTGGGGCTGGGATGGCATGGAGTTCCCCACCTTCCTCACTTACCTATTTAAAAAAAACGGCAACTATGCTGGCATATTAGTACAGCTAACTGAAATTTGGCATTAATCAAGCTCAGAATGCCAACCAGTTACTGGCAGCTTTTCTCCCAGCAGCTAGGTACAACCAATTTAGGCAGTTGCCCACAACTGGAAATTTGCAGCAGTGTTACATTTTTCATTCAGAGACAAACTCAATAAGACAGAATAGTCAGGGCCCAGCATGATAGCTAAATCCTCGCCTTGCATTTGCCGGGATCCCATATGGTCGCCAACTAATGTCCCTGCTGCTCCACTTCCCATCCCGCTCCCTGTCTGTGGCCTGGGAAAGCCATCAAGGACAGTCTAAAACCTTGGGATGCTGCACCCACGTGGAGAGCCAGAAGAAGCTCCTGGCTACTGGCTTTGGGTCAGCTCAGCTCCAGGTGTTGAGGCCACTGGGCAGTGAACCAGCAGCTGGGGGATCTTTTTCTCTGTCTCTACTTCTCTCTGTAAATCTATCTTCCAATAAAAATAAATGTTAAAAAAAACTGAATAGTAAGAATCCAAAATGATAAAAGACAAAGAGTAATAGCCTGGGAAAAGCAGTAGAAAATGTCCCTATTGTTTGGGGCCCTACCACCCAAATGAGAGACATGGAGAAAGCTCCTGGCTTAGCTTCAGCTTGGCCCAGCACTGGCCACAGTAGACAACTAGGGAGTGGACCAGTGAATGGAAGATCAGTCTGAACCCCCAAAATCTGACTTTCAAATAAATATTTTTCTTTTTTTAAAAAGGTGGTACTTAGGTCTTTAAACAAATCAAAGAAGCAATTCCAAAAATAGTGACAATCATAGATCTGAAAAGCATAGCAATGATTAAGAAGGATGTAACAGGCTAGCAGGTATACAATATATCTCTGTAATGGTGACAACGGAAAAAACCTCCAAACACTGAAATCCAAATAATATTTTCAAAGTATTACCTGGAAATTTATTCTCTCCCATGCCAATTTTAGCTTGACTGAATGGTGTTGAAACAGCAGTAGTATTTTCCACTAGACAGTTATCCAACTTGGATTCCAAGCATAAGCTGAAATTCTAAAGAAATGTGACATATTATATATCAACCTTTGAGTCTGATTGCCATACACTATAAGGAAACTGAAAATTACACTTAATATTTGGAGTAATCCACATAAGCATATCTTCAAAGGTTCTCTATGGCTTTTCCACAAGACACCTTCTCAGTTACCAGCTCCCTTTATTTCTCTTCACACTAAATTTAAAAACTTAACTCATACCTCTTGTATGTATATTCTATAGATGCTTTTTAGCAACATAGGTGTGATGAACTTTTTACTGCCAAAGGTCATTTACATACTTATAAAATCATTCATGGGCCATACAAAATTATCATCCAGGCAAGCACCAGAACACAACACCTTCAAGCACCAGCGTTCCATATGGCTGCGGGTACTAGCTCCAGCTGCTCCAGTGCCCATCTAGCTCTCTGCTTGTCACCTGGGAAAGCAATGGAGGATGACCCAAGTCCTTAGGACTCTGACACATGAGAGATCCTGAACAAGCCCCACTCCACTCCAGCCATTGCAGCAATTTGGGGAGTAAACCAGCAAATGGTAGATCTTCCTCTTCTGTACTTCCTTGTCCCTGTCAATCTGCCTTCCCAATAAAAATAAATCTTAAAAAAAAAAAAAAAGAATATTCTGCTACAGATTCACTAGATTTCAAGTTTCACCTACAGTTCCCTCAGCAGGGCCAGACGATGTAATTTTGCTGACCCTGAACAGCCAGTAGGTTGCACATTCTCCACCCCGTGTTGATAGTCTCCTTTACTGCACTGCCCAATAGAGTCTAACTCTAAATTCTGAGCACATGAAATGTGCTAAGCAAGATCAGGGGTGTATGGGTAAGCATACGTCACATACCTGATTTGGAAAATTAAAGCACACAGAACAAGGTACTTTGAAATTATAGTTATATCTTTTGTATGACAGCTTCAATATACTGGAATTTTATTTTTGCTCCAGACAACTTTGGCTATCAGACAATTTAAAATTATACAGGTAGATAACGTCATTTATTTTTCTACAATTTGCTTATTTGACAAGAGAACCAAAAATAATTCAGTGAAAAAGTCTGGTCTCTTCAACAAACGCTGTTGAAACAATTACATAGCACTCTGCCGAATAAAGAAGCAAGAGCCCCACCTGTCATCTTAAAAAAAAAAAAAATCAGCTCTAAATAGAACAGGGGCCTAAATCTGTACCCACAAGCCATCAACATATTAGAGGAAAGCACAGGAAGCATTCTGCAGATAAAAGGATTGGGAGACTTCTTAGAACACTCACCAAAAGTACAGTCAAAGCCAAAATAAACAAAGTGCACTACATCAAGCTGAGAAGCTTCTGCACAGCAAAGGAAATGATCAACAAAGTGAAGAGGCAACCAACGGAATGGGAGAAAATCTTGGCACAGTACACAAAACAGAGGGGCCTAATATCCAGGATTTACAAAAAGCTTTAGAAACTCAACAGCAGCAAAACAATTAACCCTGTGAAGAAATAGGCAAAGGAAATAAACAGACATTTTTCTAAAGAACATATTCAAATAGCTAATAGACACATGAAACAAATACTCAGGCTCCCTGGCTTTCAGGGAAATACAAATAAAAATCACACAGCGATGCCACCTAACTCCATTGAGACTGGCCTACATTCAAAACTCTACTGACAACACCTGCTACGTTGGAGGTGGGGAGAAAAGTGCCCTCTTTCACTGTTGGTGGAAGTGTAGGCTAGTACAACCACTGTGTAAGTCAGTATAGAGAGTGCTAAGAGAACTGAAAATTGACCTGCCATATGACCCAGCTATTCCATTTCTGAGAATATATCCAAAGGAAATGAAATCCTGTATTCACAGCAGCACAACCTGTAATAGTAAAGATATGTAAACAACCCAGATGCCTGTCAAAAGAGGAGTGCATAAAGAAACTGGTACATCTATTCTCTAGACTACTACTCAGCCATTAAAAATAGTGAAATCCTATCATTTGCAATAAAATGGTCCCAACTAGAGATCAGTGAAATAAACTAATCCCCAAAAGATAAATATCATATGTTCTAATATAAAGCAACCTTTATGCAATATACAAGACCAATAGATACACAGGTAAACATGTACTATACATAATCATCTAGAGGAACTGTGTAGAGCACCATATCAAGATGTGACGATAGAGTACAGTATGCATCTCTACTTCCAAATCAAAAATGGACTCCCAATGAAACTGTTAAATATACCTTGACAACAGGATGCTGGACTCTGTGCCATGGTTTATACCTATAATGCCAGGATACACTTAGAAAACAGAATGATGGACTCATGACTGTTTTTGAAGGACTATTCTGTTGTAATAATATAGGAGAAATATGTTGGGGAATGGGAAAAGGGAAAGGGGAGGGAGAAATCCCAGAGCCTACTGAACTATATCATAAAATAGACAATTTAAAACATTATTCGCTTATTCGAAAAGTCACAGAGAGGGAAGGAGAAAGACAGAGCTTCCATCTACTGGTTCACTCCCCAGACAGCTGCAACAGCCAGGATTGAGCCAGGTCAAAGCCAAGAGGCAGAAACTCCACCTAGCATTCTCAATGCAAGGCTCAGGCCCAAGGCCTTGCGCCATCTTCCACCACCTTCCAAGACACACTAGCAGAAAGCTGGGTCACAAGTGGAGCAGCCAAAACTTGAACTGATGCTCATATAGTATGTCAGCATCCCAGGCAATGGCTTACCTTCCTGCACCACATTGGCCCCGTATTTCTACCAAAGTGTGCTAACCTAGAATGTATTTCACCATGTACAAATTCATTCTACAAGAGTATTTCAAAGAGCTCATGGAGATGAAAATAAAAGTTTTTACACATTAAAATGTATACATACTTGCATAAATTTTTGCATACTACAGAATCCCCATGGACTTTCTGAAGACCCTGCACCTGTTTGGATTTTTAATTTTTCATTAATTCATTTTATTTGAAAGGCAGATAGAGAGCTCTTCCATCACCTGGAGTTTATTCCCAAATGATCACAATAATCAGTTCTAAATCAGACTGAAGCAGGAAGTCAGGAATTCCATCTGGGTCTCCCACTTACACGGCAGGAGTCCAAGTACTTGGCCAATCTGCTGCTGCCTTTCCAGACACATAAATGGGAGCTGGAATGGAAGCAGAGCAGCTAGGACACAAAGCAGCACTGAAATGGAATGATAGTATAGCAAACGGCTGCTTAATCACGATGCCACTCCTGCAACACAAGTTTCTTAAAGGAAGAATCAGTTTCTGCAGCCCCAGCACCATGCTTTAGACACAGGAAAAATACAAGTATATACTGGATACATCCCGACATAATGTTATTATAATCACTGACAACACACTTTGCTTTTGGTGAAAAACTTGTCTTTTAGTAGGAAAAAACAGATTTGTGGTGTAAATTATGTATACAAATTAAGACATCTTATATATCAGTAAGTACCAAATACACTGCTTCCACAAAATCAAATTTCAAAAAAAAAAAAATTAAGGGGAGGCATTGTGGGGCAGGCAGGACACACTGTGAGACACCAGCATCCCACTTGAGAGTGCCTCATTCGAAACTCAGGCAATCCACTTCCAATACAGTTTTCTGCTAATATGCATCCTGGAAAGAGGACACAACGAAGGCTCGAGTACTTGAGTCACTGACCCACCTGGGAGTTCCAGGATCCTGGCTTCAGCGTGGTCCAGCCCTGCCTGCTGTAGGCATTTGGGGAGTGAACCAACGGTTGGAAGATATTCTCTCTTTGTTTTAAATACATAAAACAATGAAACATTTTAGACACATAAAAAATGTTAGCATTCATGTAAAAATTTAAGACACAAACAAATGCTAAATGCCTTTTATGGACATATACACACATACATGAAATCATAAAAACAGAGGCAGGTGTAAGCATTTGCTGCCACCTGGGACACCTACACGCCGTACCAAGCACCTAGTCCCAGTCCCACTTCTTATTCCAATCCCCCGCTGTTGTATAACCCAGAAAGCAGCAGATACTCAGGTACTTGGTAGACCTGGACTGAATTTTGGGCCCTCGTTTTGGTTTGGCCCCATACTGGCTGTTGCAGGCATTTGGGAAGCAAATTAGTAGCTGAAACATCACTCTGTTTTTCTCTCCCTGATCTTAAAATAAAAATAAATAAAAACAGGGGAAAAAAAGCACAAACAAAAATATTCATATTATCAAATTAGGGAGTACATTTAACTCTTTGTAGAGAGGTGAAAAAGAATAAAGAGGGGGATGCAATCTTCAACAGTATCTGTAACACACTTTTCTTAAAGAATATGAAGTAATTCAACAAAACATTAATTTCTGTTAAATCTAGGTGGTAGCTACATGAGGGAAAAGTTAATTTCTGAATGTCTGAAATAGCTTAAAAATGGAAAGCATTAACATGGAAATTAAATCTCACTTTTTTTTTTTCAAAAAAACTGTTTTAAGATTTACTTTATTTTTATGCGAATGGCAGAGCTACAGAGGGGAGAGATAGATCTTCCACTCACTGGCCCACCCATCAAATGGCCACAACAGGTGGAAGTAGGACAATCTGAAGCCTTGCGCTTCTTCCCAGTCTCCTACATGGATGTAGGGGACCAACAACATGGGATATCCTCTGCTGCTTTTCCCAAGCCACAGACAGAAAACTGCATCAGAAGTGGAGCAGCTGGGACATGAACCAGCATTCACATGGGATGGCAGCCCGGCAGTGATCCCACCACACCTACCGCACCGTGGCATCTGTCCCAAAATGTATTTATTTTTCTGTGAAAGTCAGAATTACAGAGAGAAGGAGACAGAGACAGAACTTCCGTTACTGGTTCACTCCCCAGATGGCCACGATGGTCAGACCTGAGCCAGTCAAAGCCAGGAACCAGGAGCTTTGTCCAAGTCTCCCATGTGGGTACAGGTACCCAAGCACTTGGGAGATCCTCTGCTGCTTTCCCAATAGAGCAGCAGGGAGCTACAAGAGAAGCAGAGTAATCGGGACTCGAACTGCTACCTACACGGGATGCTGGAGCCGCATCATGGCACTAGCCTCAGGTTTCACATAATTTGCTTCAAAACGGAGAGACTAAATCCAAAGCACTTTTCAATATATGCAATGTTGTATAATGTCAAGATCATGTGGTCTAAGTAAAACCTCTTCTCTAGTAGTTTAGCTAAGGAAATAATTAGATTTCTTGTCCTTCAATATATTATTTGTAAACTGTCTCTTGAGTTTTAACAGGCATTTATGAAGCTGTCCAGCTGTGTTCGAGGACACACTTCATCTAAGAAGCCACAACTTATTATTCATGTACTATTTATTTCTAATTATGATCTCAACTTGGTAAAATATTATCTGAATATTCATCTTGTAGCTGACAACTTCATTCCCATTTGTTTAGAAAATAAAATCTAAGAGTACCACAGACTCTTCCCTTTAAGTTCACTCCAATCTTCAGCCCAGAACAGACACTGCTCTATTTCCCGGCTCCTAGCATGCAACCCAGACTCCTAACATTCTACAATTGTTTCTAGTCCAATGTTTCCAAAGAAAACTTGAAATCATTCTCACAGTCCAGGATGACCGTTTTTCTCTGTTCATGACTTTTCTGTTCAATTATCTAATGCTCAGGATATGCTGGTGCTGAAAAGAATGCTTGAACTAATAATTAGAACACCTAGATTCTAAACTTGTTTGTGCCGCCAAAGGTGTGACCTAAATCACATATTATTTTCCAATTTAAAATTAAGTAATTAGTATAAATTAACAATGAGTTTTAAAAATCTGTAATACAGAGCTCCTGGGATCTGTGAATACAAAATTTCTGCTTATTTCTGGTATTCCATATGCAATTCACTTTAGCAAAGCAAAGGATCAGCCATTTTTGTAAAGTTTAAGATTATTTTCCTAGATAATCATTAGGGTCTCCTAGATAAAAGCCATGGCTTTCAATTTGCTTTGTTTACTACAAAATTCTTCGGTCTCTACAATTATACTCTGAGATTTATACTGAATTATTTATACAACTCAGAATTTTTTTTAAGATTCCTTTTTTTTATTGCATAGGCTGATTTTACAGAGAGGAGAGAAAGATTTTTCCATTCCCTGGTTCATTCCCCAAGTGGCCACAACAGCCAGAGCTGAGCCTATCCAACCTGAAATCAGGGGCCAGGAGCCTCTTCTGGGTCTCCTATGTGAGTTGCATGATCCCAAGGCTTTGGTCTGTCTTCTAACTGCTTTCCCAGGCCACAGAGAGCCAAATGGGAAATGTAGCAGCCGGGACACGAACCAGTGCCCATAAGGGAGCCTGGGACATGCAATACGAGAACTTTAGCCACCTTGCTACCACACTAGGCCCCAACTCAGAAGTGTAATCTGTCAAGCATCCAAAATGGTCATATAAGTGAAACCAAAAGACATCCTTTCAAAGATATTTAACTTTGGGAGGCTGATGCAGTAGTGTAGTGGGCAGGGCCTTCACCTGTAGTATCAGCATTCCACTTGGAAGATGGTTCATGTCCCTGCTGCTCTATTTCTGATTCACTCCCTGCTTATGGCCTAGGAAAGAGCAGAAGATGGCTCAAACCCTTAGGATCCTGCACCCACTAGGGGAGACCCAGAGGAAACTCCTGGCTCCTAGCTTTGTATTGGCCCAGCTCCAGCCATTTGGGCTTTGAGCCAGGGGTTGGAGGATCTCTGCTTCTCCTCTCAGTTGCTCTGTGTTTCCAGTAAAAATCTGAAAAAGGGATATTTGATTTTGGAGCAGTCATTGTCATAGTGGCAGATTAAACTGCAATGCCAGCATCTCATACGAGCACCAATACAATACAGGCTGCTCCACTTTTCATCCAATTACCTGCTAACACACTTAAGAGACAAACCAAGGACTCAGAGCCCTTCAACTCACACAGACTCAGCTGAAGCTCCTGGTTCCAGACCAGCCGAGCCCTGCCACCTGGGGAGTGAGCCAGCAGATGGAAGAACCCTGTCTCTTCTGCCAACTCTATTTTCAAGTTAAGAAAAGGATGAGGGGGAGTATCTTGATTAACAACTCTTCACTCTTTTCTAACTTAAATATTAAATGTTTTTGTTATAAACAGTTTTTTCGTATTAGAAAATACTCAACTACCTCTATTGTGCATAATGAAAATAGATTACACGGGCCTGGCAGCGTGGCCTAGTGGCTAAAGTCCTCGCCTTGAATGCACTGGGATCCCATATGGTTGCTGGTTCTAATCCCAGCAGCCCTGCCGCCCATCCAGCTCCCTGCTTGTGGCATGGGAAAGCACTCGAGGACAGCCCAAAGCCTTGGGACCCTGCACCCACTTGGGATACCCGGAAGAGGCTTTAGGCTCCTGGCTTCAGATCGGCTCAGCTCAGGCTATTGCAGCCGCTTGGGGAATCAATCAATAGACATCATATTTTCTCTCTGCATATCTGACATTCCAATAAAAATAAATTTTTTTTTTTAAAAAAAGAAAAAGGATTACCTTATCTGGTGTGGATTCAAAAGAATGTTTCGTCTGATTTTCCAATGGTGGGTCAGAAGATTTTATTTGTTTATCCAAATGGCAGTTGTCAGGAGCCCTTTTTACAGCCTTAATTTCAAGTGTAATGTCATTAACTTTAACGTCTTCAGAATAAATTTCTTTCATTTTGTTCTGCTGGCCAGATATACATTTATCATGTGTTTTTGTCCCTATAGATGTCCTTTGAGTCATCGAATCATGACTTTCTAAAGACAGCGGTGAAAAACCAGTTCGTAAAAAGCCCAATTTAGGGGGTACTTGAGAGTCTGACTTACTTTGTTGCACAGAGTTGAATTTTGAGAGTTTAATTTTAGTCCAGTTAGAGTTCTTCTTAGTTGAGCTGCTTATTCCATTTAATATACATTTCACAGGCTTTGTTTTTCTACTAGGAAAAAAACGATTACATTGCACGTCCTGATTTGTTTCCTTTTGATGAAGTATTTGCTTTTCAACACTGCTCTCTTCCAATTTTACTTCTGTAGGCGTCTCCTTTCCACTTTCCATTTGTGAAGATTCCTTCTTTACCTCTACAGTATCTGACTCGATCTCTCCAGCAATTTCTTCACAGAGCTGGAGAATGCTACCTCGTTTGCTCTTTCCTGCTTGCTCCAATTCGTTACCTAGACTTTGTTGAGGGGCAGATGGCTGCGGACTTCTCGGGGATTCCACACTAGTGTTCACCTGTGTGCGACCCGATTTCGCCTCATTCTTTTTACAGACCCCTGAAGTAGCCATTTTTGATCGTTTTACCTCAGAAGTTGCAGGCACATATTTCGTTTCCTCCTTTCTAATCGTCTTCTGGTCACACTTCTCAGACCCCTGAGCGCGGGGAGGGCTACAAGTACATGCAATCTGCGGCTCCACTCTGCGTTTTTTTCCTTTGGGGGAATTTATGACTTCATTACTCGCTGAATTTCCATCCTCTTTAGAGTCAGACTTGATTTCCAACACTTTCCTTTTCACATGCTTACTTGTTTTGACTTGATTCGATTTACTCTGAGTACTGTTACAATGCTCTTTTCTTGTTAGTGGCAAGCTCTGTTTAACGGCTTGAACTTGACCCTGAATTTCCCTACTGCGCAAAGACCTTGTGGAAACCTCTGATAACTGCTGTAGCCTTTGTGATCTCCTATTAAGCTGCTCATTTGCTTTAGGAGTTTCATGCACTAGTTTCTTCTGAGACAATTTATTCTTTGCCGAGGCTTCTTGGGGCTGTCCCTTCACAGTGGTCACATTTCTGTTACTGGACTTGATGGCTCTGCTGTCATGGGATGCTGCCTTTGCTGATCTCGTACTCATGCGTGTTGCCAATTCAGGCTGACTTATTTTACTTTCATTGAAAGCCGTAACCAGTGATTTTACACTTTCTTTTGCACCTGATTTTTTTGCTTGATCCCTTGGAGAATCCCGAGTTCCTATTTCTAAATTCTTATCTTCACTTTTTTTATTAACTTTAGAGGAACTTTCTTTTGATTTCTCTGGAATGGACATCATTCCTGAGTAATGTCTGCCTTTCCACGGAGTTGGTTTTGAGAGGATTTTCGTGCTGAATAGCTGGTATTTGTGACTGAGGAACAGGTCTTAAAAGCCAACTTTAATTGATACTGATACACATTTCAACAAAAATATTAGTTTGCTTCAAATAAGGTTTTGTCATTCCTAGAACATGAGAAAAGTTGGCATGAATGCCAAAATATATCTTCTTTATACTTTAGACAAGGCAACAGAAATTTAAAGAAAATTTTAATTCTAATTTGATATTTTTATTACAAAAAAATTAATTCATGTGCATATTGTTCTGTTAACTTTTAAATTAATTCTGGTTTCATACCTAACCCTATCACTGGAGGAATGACTTATCACTGACCCGGAGACAAAATCTTTGAAAACTTTTTTCTTCTGAAGTCTACAGTCACTGGACTTCGATTCACTTGAAACATGTCTTAAGGCTAACACGTGTCTTTCCTTGCTTGCTGAATTTGTTGTGTAGTTCTTACCGAACCTCCTTTGCTTAACAAAACACTGTATTAATATAGATTGTATTTTATGTTGCCAGTTCTGAAAAATTAAAAAAACGGAAATTAAACTTTGTACAAAGATGACAAAGTCAGCACTTTATAGAACTCCTAAGTTAGAACAAAATATAACTTGTCCTTTTGAAATATTCATTCTGTACAATTAAGACCTACAGAGAATGAAGCATCCCAGGTACATAACCATTCATGCTACACATGGACAGAATAGACCCAAGTCAGGTTATTCCTTACTTACATTTCTCTTTCCACACGACACAACTGATACTTCAGCCACCATAACTCAGGAAAAATTGACAGAACCATTCCTTATGATCTGCTTTTAACACACTACACAGCACCTAAAAGAAAAAGGCTTTCAATGTTTAAAACGACAAAAAAGAAATAAATACCCATTCACTTCTCATCAAATACAACATTAATTACGCCCCACCCATCATTAGTCATTATCTCTTCAGAGTTCACATAGCATTTTTTATTATTATTACTATTTTTATTGGAAAGGCAGATATACAGAGAGGAGAGACAGAGAGGAAGATCTTCCGTCCGATGATTCACTCCCCAAGTGAGCGCAACTGCCAATGCTATGTGGATCCGAAGCCAGGAACCTCTTCCGGGTCTCCCACACAGGTGCAGGTTCCCAAACCTTTGGGCCGTCCTTGACTGCTTTCCCAGGCCACAGGCAGGGAGCTGGAAGGGAAGCTGGGCTGCCGGGATAGAACCGGTGCCCATATGGGATCCCAGGCATGCAAGGCGAGGACCTTAACCACTTGCGCCACCGCGCCGGGCCCTCACATAGCATTTTTTTTAAAAAAAGATTTACGTTATTGGAAAGTCAGATATACAGAAAAGGAGAGACAGAAAGGAATATCTTCCATCTGATTATTCACTCCCCAAGTGAGCACAACGGCTGGTGCTGCGTCGATCCACAACCAGGAGCCAGGAACCTTCTCCAGGTCTCGTATGCAGGCGCAGGATCCCAAGGCTTTGGGTCGTCCTCAACCACTTTCCCAGGCCACAAGCAGGGAGCTGGATGGGAGGTGGGGCTGCTGGGATTAGAACCGGCGTCCATATGGGATCCCGGTGCGTTCAAGGCGAGGACTTTAGCCACTAGGCCACCACGCCAGGCCCCCACATAGCATTTTTTAAAGTATGGTTCATGCACTCAAACAGCACACATCCAATTTACTTTGTGGAAAAAAAAATAGAAAACACAATTCATAACACAACCATAAAATTGCTAGAACTGCTAAAGTCCGAGAAGAAAAAAACATAGCACACATACATATACTCAAAAAGCCTGGCAAACAGCAAAAGGTGGCCAATTTAAACACCAAATTTGTCTCCATTCCTCCATTACAATGCTATCAAAATAAAAAAAAAAAGGGGAAGAAAAGGTAGAGAGATTAAGACAAAACCTGAAGGATAAGGAACAACAGAAGAGGCAATAAAATCATTAAAGCAAAAAGGACAAAAAGCGTGACCTCACACATTCAATAAAACCCTAAATTTAAAATACAAAAAGTTGAGAAATAGCCTTATTTACACCACAGAACCTCAAAGATTCAGAAACCAAAAGTACTAGATTCAAACAGAAAATGAGAATTAGGGCCCAGGGAATGGCTCAACTGGCTAAGCCCCCCTTTTCAAGCACCACTTACTATCCAGCTCCCTGCTTATGGCCTGGGAAAGCAGTTGAGGATAGTCTAAAGCCTAGGGACCCTGCACCTGCACAGGAGACCAGAAACTCCTGGCTCCCAGCTTCAGATCGGCTCAGCTCCAGGCCAGTTCACTGCCGTCACTATCTCTCCTTCTCTCTGGAAACACACCTTTTCAATTTAAAATTAATTTAAAAATTTTTAAAAGAAATTGTGAATAAAAATGGGACTAAAAAAAAAATCAGGGGCCCAGAGCAATAACATAGTGGCTAAAGACCTCGCCTTGCATGCACCAGGACTCCATATGGTCACCGGTTCTAACTCCGGAGTCCCTGCTTCCCGTACAGCTCCCTGCTTGTGGCCTCAGAAAGCAGTGGAAGACGGCCCAATTCGTTGGAACCCTGCACCCATGTGGGAGACCCGGAAGAAGTTCCTGGCTCCTGGCTTCAGATTGGTACAGCACCGGCTGTTGTGGTCACGTGGGAGTGAATCATCGGATGGAAGATCTTCCTCTCTGTCTCTCCTCCTCTCTGTACATCTGACTTTGTAATAAAAATAAATCTTTTTTAAAAAAAAAAAAGGTAACTTAAAATGTACAAAAGTTTAAAACAAATTTTTTTAATTTATTTTTATTGGGAGGCAGTAGAGGATGGCCCAGAGCACTGGGACCCTGCACCCACATGGGAGACACGGAGAAGTTCCTGCTCTTCACTTCAGATCAGCTCAGCTCTGGCTACTGACACCAGTTAGGGAGTGAGCCAGCAGACTGAAAATCTTTCTCTCTGCTGCTCTCTGTAAATCTGCCTTTCCAACAAAAATAAATAAATCTTAAAAGAAAAAAGAAAAAAAAAAAACAATCCTTGTGCTAGGTCAGGTGAAGCCACTGCCTGGGGACACCCACATTTTCTATGTGATTTCCTGGCTCAGGTCCTGGTTCTGCTGTGGATTCCAAATTCACGTTGAGTCAACAGGTGCTGACTTATGTACTTGGGCCTTTGTGCCCACAGGAGACCTGGACTGAGTTTAGGGTTATCAGCTTTAGTCTATAATCCTGGATAGTCAGTGCATCTGGAAGGTTAATTTTTTCTTTCAAAAACAAAAAAATTGCCCAGACCATACAGACCTGCCCGCATACATGTGGGTCAGTCAGGTCTGGGAACAGACCAGTCTGGGCCAGCACATAACACCACTGGCAGATCTGAGAACCAAGGCAAGAGGGTGGAGGAGCCAGGTGGGGCCACAACACCAGCCAGTTCCCATTCGGGCTGGGACAGCAATCAGGCTGGGCTGGGACAGGCTGCAGTGCTGGGGTCCATGTGATGGGTGTGGAAGACAGGAAGGTGTGAAGAGTATTGTTCCACTTGCAGGCAGGGCCCAGCAGAAAGCCATGAGTGGTTTCCCCCTTTGTATCTCCCTTATCCCAGGAACAAAAAGAAGAAATAACAAATTTGGAAGCAATGAATTCACCCAATTTTCCCTAAACCTCAATCCTTCCTATGCTGATCAACCATGCAATCATTATTTTTTTTAATTTATAATTTAAAAAAAATTATAATGCCTGGCGCAGTAGCCTAGTAGCTGAAGTCCTAGCCTTGCACGTGCCGGGAACCCATATGGACGCCGGTTCTAATCCTGGCAGCCCTGCTTCCCATCCAGCTCCCTGCTTGTGGCCTGGGAAAGCAGTTGAGGACGGCCCAAAGCCTTGGGACCCTGCACCTGCGTACAAGTCCTAGAGAAGGTTCCTGGCTCCTGGCTTCAGTTTGGCTCCGCTCCAGCCGTTGCGCTCACTTGGGGAGCGAATCATCAGATGGAAGATCTTCCTCTCTCTCCTCATATCTATATATCTGACTTTGCAATAAAAATAAATAAATCTTTTAAAAAATTACAAATCTTTAAAACAAAACCTTTACACTAAACCAAAAAAGCCAGTTACATGCAGCTGGCACTGCAAGTTGAGCTGCCACACACAACACAAGCCTCAGGTGCAAGTTCTGAGTGCAGCAGCTGGTTCCGGTTTCAGCTGACACTTTCAGTCCAGTTCCCCCACTAACATGCCATGAAAGCTAGGGAAGAAGGCCCCAGGAACTGGCCACCGCCACCACCACTGGAGATCTGCTTGCAGTCCAGGCTCCTGACTTCAGATTGGCATTGTGGCCATGTGAGTGATGACCCAGCTCATGAAGATTCTCTCTCATTCTCTCTCTTCTCCCTCGGTCTCTCCTACTCTAAGGCTGATGCTGTGACATAACAAATGAAGTGTCTCTAGGCCTGTCCTACTAACACCCCAGACGGTGCCAGCTCCAGAAGCAGCTGCTCCACTTCCACGCCCGCTTCCTGCTAGTGCGCCTGGGAGAGCAGGGGAAGGTGACTCCGCTCACTGCGCCCCTACGCCCATGTGGAAGACCCAAAGGAAGCTCCTGGCTTTCACCTGAAGACCAGCCAAGCTCTGGTTACTGCAGCTATTTCAGAAATGAAACAGAAGACAAAAGATCTCTCTGCTTCTACTCCTCTGTAATCTGCCCTTCAAATACAACTAAGTAAATATTTTAAAAATAAATAGTGAAGTCGGGCCCGGCGCAATGGCACAGTGGTTAAGGTCCACGCCTTGCACGCCCGGGAGCCCATATGGGCACCGGTTCTATCCCGGCAGCCCCGCTTCCCATCCAGCTCCCTGCCTGTGGCCCGGGAAAGCAGTCAAGGACGGCCCAAAGCCTTGGGACCCTGCACCCATGTGGAAAACCTGGAAGAAGTTCCTGGCTTTCGACTGGCATAGCCATTGGCAGTTGCGCTCACTTGGGGAGTGAATCATCGGACGGAAGATCTTCCTCTCTGTCTCTCCTCTCTGTACATCTGCCTTTCCAATAAAAATAAAATAAATCTTTAAAAATAAATAGTGAAGTCAGTCACAGAAGGTCAAATATTGCATGATTCCACTTATGTGAAACATCAAGAATAATAAGTTTTAACAATAAATAAGTAAATAAAACAAGTAAAAAAATAAATAGTAAGTAAAATAAACAAGGCACAAGTTTCTTCATGAATAGATGAAAATATCCTATCAGAATGAACTGCCAAAACTGAGCTGTATATTATTTCAAGGGTAGATTATGTTAAAAACTATTCCAAAAGTAGTGAATCGGAACTGACAGACTTTAACATCATATCTTTCACATAAACTTCAATTTGTCTTCTGATATGTATTATCTATTTTTGTTTTGGCATAAAAATTTCATCCAGAAACTTATCACCACAACAAAATTTCAAATGAGTCAAAGTAACAGTAAATTTCAAATGTCTAAGTCAACTTCTTAAAAACTACTAGAAAGGGCCCGGCGTGATAGCCTAGCGGCTGAAGTTCTCGCTTTGCACCAGGATTCCAACTTCATATGGGCACCAGTTCATGTAGCTCCCTGTTTGTTTCCTGGAAAAGTCGTCAAGGATGGCCCAAAGCCTTGGGTATGGGAGACCTGGAAGAAGCTCCTAGCTCCTGGCTTTGGGTCTGATAAGTTCTGGCCACTGTGGTCTGTTGGGGAGTGAATCAGCACACTGAACATCTTCCTCTCTGTCTCTCCTCCTTTCTATATATCTGACTTTGCAATAAAAATAAATAAACCTTTTGGGCCCAGTGCATTAGTCTAGTGGCTCAAGTCCTCCCCTTGCACACACTGGGATCCTATACAGGCACCGGTTCATGTCCCAGTGGCCCTGCTTCCCATCTAGCTCCCTGCCTGTGGCTTGGGAAAGCAGTTGAGGATGCCCCAAAGCCTTGGCACCCTGGTATCCACATGGGAAACCCAGAAGAAGCTCCTAGCTCTTGAAAACATATCAGATCAGCTCCAGCAGTTGCAGCTGCTTGGGGAGTGAGTCAGTGGGTGCAAAATCTTCCTCTCTGACTTCCCAATAAAAACAAAAATCTTGAAAAAAAAAAAAAACTACTACTAGTATTAGGGACCAGTGCTGTGACTCAACAAGCTATTCCTCCAACTGCAAGCACCAGCATCACCTATGGACAATAGTTCCAGTCCCAGCTGCTCCACTTCTGATCCTGCTCCCTACTGACGCCCTGGGAAAGCAGCAATCCCAGTGTCTGGACGTCGGCACTCACCCACCTGGGAGACCTGGGAGAAGCTCCAGGCTCCTGGTTTTGACCAGGCCCATTCATGGCTGCTGCCACCATTTTGGGAGCAAATCAGCAGATGGAAGATCTGACTGTCTTTCCTATTTTCTGTAATTCTGTCTTTCAAATAAAAGTGAACCTTTAAAATAATTCTCCATCTGCAATAACTACATCCCATAAGGATGCCAGTTCTAGGCCCAGCTGCTCCACTTCCAATTCTGCTCCCCGCTAAAGCCTGGGAAGGCAGTGGAGGAAGGCTCAAGTGCTTGGGCCCCCCCACCCCCACCCGCACCTGAGAAGAAACTTGTGGCTCCTCCGGGCTTTGGTCCCAACCAGCCCCAGCTGCTGTGGATATTTGGGAAGTGAACTAGTAAATGAAACATCTGCCTGTCCTCTAACTCTGTTAGCTAAAAATAAATAATAAACCTAAAACGAAAAAAAGAACAAAACAAAAATGCGCTCACCTCAGAATTTTTATACTGATTGACCAAGAAGAATGACAGCACATTTTAAAACCACAGCAAATTCTGTTCAAAGAACCCTGCTGCCAAAGACCCATGTGACCTGGGAGCTAGCATGCTTTCTGGCGCAAAGGGGAAATGACCCTGCTACAGTCCTAGTTTTCTCATTTCCTCACATGCTCTAGGACGGAATCTGAGCCTTCCAGTGAACTCATTTTGAAAGCACTTCTCCCAGGTGTGAGAATCTTAAAATTTCTCCCAGTTGAAAAACTTGTGGGTGTCCCACCGGGAGAGGACAAACACCACACACCCAGCGGAGCAGCAGATCTCACCGCAACCTGCATGCTTTCAGATGAAACACTGTTTGACCCAGTTAAAAAAAAAAATAAAAGTGGGGGGGAGGAAGTCACCCACAGCTTGTTATGCCACTTAAACAGCATTTCTGCAGGAAATAAAATGGGCCATTTTATAACACTACTTAGACACTGCAATTATTTCCTGCGGAAAACACTCCCAACTTCAAGATGGAACTACAGAAAACACGGTTTACACGACTTTCCAAATCTTCACGCTGCAACTCCTTCCCCTCCCCATCTCCGCCTCCCCTCCGCCACACCTCCTCCACCCCATGGAAAATTCTGTAGCGCCAGGAACTCCAAATTCACCACTTGAAGGGAGAGGGGGCGCAACGGCAGTTCCCTCAACTGTGCACCTGCTCTCCCACTCTGCAAAAAAACAAACCCCTGTATAAAAGATTCTGCTAAGAAGTGACCCCCCCCCCAAAAAAAAGCCAGGACCCAATGTCCCGCTGCTCACACCTCTCCAGCGCTGTAAGGCGCTCCAGGCAGCAGCACCACATCACCCAAACCACTGCCTCGCCGCCACCTCCTTCCCCCGAGGCTCCCAACCCCAATTACTCCGTGACCTTGGACCCGAGCCACCCAAGCTCAAGTCTGTAAAACCGGGACCTGCCCCGAGCCCGCCGCGCGCGCCGCAGAGGCCTCGGGGGCTCGGGCCAGGACTGCGGGCTGCGGCGCGGCCGACGAACCCACCGCGACGGCCGGCTGGGGGCCGGTGGTGCAGCGGAGGGCGGCGCGGGCCGGGAAGGGACGCCGGCGCCCGAGGGACCAGGCCCGGGGCTGGGGGGGCTCCCTGCCCGGGCGGCGACGCCATGGCCGCGCGGCCTCCCGACGAGCCCCGACGGCCCCATCAGGCAGCGGCAGGTGGAGTGCGGCGCCCCGGGGCCGCGAGGGCGCGGGTGGGCGGCCACCTCGGGCGACGGCGTCCCCGAGCCTCCCACCTCCCTCCCGGGGTGGGGGACACGCACGAGCATCTGGGACCGAGGGAAGAAGGAAAGAGGCGTGCGGGACAACGCGAGCCCGAGGGTGGGAGATGGGGAAGAGAGAAAAATAAAATAATAATTAAAAAAAAAAACCAAAACCGTCCGCCGGGAGAGCGGTCGCCGTCAGACGCCGGCATCGCATACCTTGCTCTGAGCCCCGGCCCGGGCAGTCCCGACTGCAGCACAGCGCCTCACATCCGGGTACCCGGAGACACTCAGCTGCTTCTGCCGCGACCGCCGCCTCCCCCGCGGCGCAAACACCAAACTTCCGGCGACGGCGGCGACGCCTCGCCCGTCAGATGGGAGTTACCTGGGACCGTCCTGGATGCGCTTGCGCAACGCTCCTCTTCAGCCCGAAGCGGCTCAGCTGACGTACCCGCCAGACGAAGATGGCCGCCACGCTCGGTGCGTGTCACGCAGTTCTCACCCCGGCTCGGACGGGCCGGGCGTCGGGGAAAGGCGAGCCCGCGCGGCCATCCTCGGCGCAGGCGCGGTGGGAGGCCTCGCGTGCGCGTCTCCGCGGGTGGGCGCCCGGCGGCGAGGGGCGGCGCCCCCTAGCGGCGGTCGCGTGTCCTGCCCGTGGTCGTCAGTCGTCTCGGGGTTGGAAAGCACCAGCCCTCTCCCACCCTGAGCGTGGGTGGTTTGCCTTGCAAATGAGCAGCCACGGGGTGCCCCGTGGGCTTCGAGTAACCCTGTGGTGTGCCGTCCAGATGCTTTTCGTCTTCCACAGGGGCCGGGGTGACGAGGGAGCGATGGGGGAAAAGTGACTCTGCCCTCCTTACCCTGAAAACTGGGCCTCCCCCCATCAAAAAATAAATAAACAAAAAGACGACGGGGCAAGACAGCCTCCTCGTGCTCGGAACACACCAGCCTGCAAGAAATTGTGGCATATTCAGTTACGTTAGCTACGGCGAAGTCTCAAGATAGGACCCAGGATTTTATCCGTGCAGTTCATACTTCCTACGCTGCTTCTAAACACACTTAATGAGCTGCTGTTTCCATCTTTGCACAAGGGTGAGGAGATATAAATTGGTACTTGTGCCATTCAGAATGGAGAGTGGGTTCTCCCCTTCCTGCTTCTCGCTTGTGAAGCCATATTCAACCTAAATGTGCTCTAAGCCTACCGAGCCTGATGTTTTTCTTATTAAATTTTGCAAAATATTTTAGCAGGTGTGGGGGGAAGTTATGGCTTCCAATTCGTATTGATGGCTGAGGCTATCCATCCATGTTGACAAGGGTTCGGTTCCGTGTCCCCCACCTCCACTCCTATAGCACCTGATTGATGTTTAACAGCTTTGCCCCAGATGCCTCCAGCTGGATGGAGATGGAGGGAAGTCATCAGTAAACTGTTACCCTGTAGGGCTCAACCAGGTTTGCCTCCGTCTGTAGGATATCAGAAAACTGGGGCCCGGCTTGGTAGTCTAGTGCCTAAAGTCCTCGCCTTGCATACGCCAGGATCCCATGCGGGTGCCGGTTCGTGTCTGGGCTGCCCCATTTCCCATCCAGCTTCCTGCTTATGGCCTTGGGAAAACAGTTGAGGATGGGCCAAAGCCTTGGGATCCTGCACCCACGCTGAAGAGCCAGAAGAGGCTCCTGGCTCTCAGCTTCAGACCCAACAAATATATATATCAGAAAGCTGCTGTGATGTCTTTTCGGTGGTTAAGCCACTTCATCTTTCTTAACTCACATACTGGCATAAATACATACAGTGGGTGTTTGCGAGCTTCTACTCCCAGGAAGCAGGTCTCCAGCAGGTGAGTGGCCTGTTCCAGGGTAGGGTTGTATCGGCACCCTCAGTCCTTAGTAATGTCGGAGCGTAAGAAGTCATACAGGGACTATACAGCCCCTTCGGTGAAATGATGGGCTTGGATGGTTTATGAAGCAGTGTACTACTGTAATTACATGGGGGAAATAAGTGTGGGGGAAGGGGACTCGGGCAGGGGAGAAGGAGAAATCCCAGAGCCTATGGAACAGTATTATAAAATGATTTTTAAAAATTTTTAAAAGAAGTCATACAGGAATGCCTCTCTGTCTCTCCCTCTCTGTGAAAGTCTAGTGCCTTTCAAGTAAAAATTAATCTGAAAAACAAAATTTAATTTCATGAGACAGGAAATCTGCATATACTTATTAAGAAGTAGTATAGCCTGGATTTTGCAAATAATGGTTAAGGAGAGGACTATCATTATTGAACTAATAGAGTTTAGATCAAAATTATAAAGAAGAAAAATCTTAATTTGGGGGGGGCCAATGCGATGGCTCAGTTGGCTAATTCTCCACCTGCAAGTACCAACATCCCAAATGGGCACTGGTTCGTGTCCCAGTTATTCCATTTCCCTTACAGCTCACTGCTAATAGCCTAAGGAAGCAGTAGAGGATGGCTCAAAGCCTTGAGACCTCGTAGCCTCATGGGAAACTCAGAGAAAGCTCTTGATTCCTGGCTCTTGATTGGCTCAGCTGCAGCTGTTGCAGCCACTTGAGAGGTAAGCCAGAACATAAAATATTTTCGGGGGGAACAGCGCTGTGGCCTAGCGGCTAAAGTCCTCGCCTTGTACGCAACAGGATCCCATATGGGCACAGGACAGCCCAAAGCCTTGGGACCCTGCACACGTGTGAGAGACCAGGAGGATCTGGGCTCCTGGTTTTTGATCAGCGCAGCACCTACCGTTGTGGTCACTTGGGGAGTGAATCATTGGATGGAAGATATTTCTCTCTGTCTCTGCTCCTCTCTGTATATACCTGACTTTACAGTAAAAATAAATCTTCAAAAAAAAATATGTTTCTGTCTCTCCTCTCTATAAATCTGCTTTCCCAATAAGAGTGAAATAAATCTTTAAAAGGTTTTTTTTTTTTTTTTAATTTAGAAGGGTTCTGGGACTAACAAACCAATGTTTCCTTAACTAATGCCTAGATAGAAAGCCATGAAACCTCGAAAAAATAATGCTTGGTAATCCAAACTAAATATTAGTTTCTTTTAAGCTCAAAAAATAACTCAAAACCAGCTAAAACTTACACAAGTCACTTTTTGAAAATGGACTTCATGGCCACCATAGCTGGGAGCTGAGGAAGCAGCGGGGCATCCTGAAACCCACAGCCTGGGTGATGCTGTCACTGCGATGTGCAGTGCACAGCTCTTCTCTTCCATACCACTTCATTCTCTAGCAGGCTCTTCTGACAACTTAGCAACGAATGTATAGGCTCATGGCTGACTGACTCCAATGAAAAGCACAGGCCTCATTCCTGAGAGACTAAGTGCTGCTGAGCTCTGATTGGTTCAATTTTGCAAGTCCTCACACTAGAAACAAACATATACACACACACTGTGATCCAGACAAGGGGTGCATCTTGGTGTCCAAGATGGCACACTGTGGTGCTCTACATAGCAAAACATTGTTCCCACCCCATAACAAGAATTGCACTCTCCTACTTAAAATTCTCTTGCTAAACTCAAAACCATGAATATAATCTAGACTTGCTTTAAAACATTTGTTTTCCTTGCTGATTACAAACTGCAGAAAGTACTTTAAAAAATAATAATAATAAAAAGATTTATTTGAAAGTCAGATTCATAGAGACAAAGAAAGAGACCTTCCATCCACTGGTTCACTCCCCATATCAACACAATGACCAAGTCTGGGTTAGAATCTGTATCCAGGACTCCCACATGTGTGGCTGGAACCCAGATGTTTGCATTATCTTCCAGTGCTTTTTCCCAGGCCACAAGCAGGGAGCAAGATCAGAAGTAGAGTAACAGGGATGTGAAATCGGCCCCCATATGAGACAGTGGCAATCACAAGTGGCAGTTTTACCTGCTAAACCACAATGCCAGCCCCTGGAATGTCCTTTCTGCATTTGTTTTTCATAAAGAACATCTACTTTAATTTTTTTTAAATCTTACTTGAAAAAGAGAGAGAAGTCTTCCATTTTTGGTTCACTAACCAGTGGTCCTAATGGCAACAGTTGGGCCAGTCTGAAGTCAGGATCAGGAGCTTCTTCTGGGTCTGCCATGTGGGTGCAGGAGCCCCAGGTCTTGGGCCATCCTCCCCTGCTTTCCCAGACCATTAACACAGAGCAGTCAGGACCAGAACTGGTGCCATATAGGATGCTGGTACCACAATGGGTAGGATTAGCTTGCTACACTATACTGGTCCCAGGATATCTACTTTTTTCTTTTTTTTTAGAAAGTGATCACAAAAATGTATTTATAATTTACAAAATATGTACATATTTTGAATAACATTCTGCTTTAAGAATTTTTTTTAGTAAAAGGCGAAAGATTTATTCGATCTGAAGAGAAACCAGAGCATTGCTCTAAGAATTTTAATTCCTAATTGTGCATAGAATATTTATTTTGCCCCTCAAGTGACATGCTGTTAACTGGGGTTTTTTTTGCTTTTTTAAAAAAATTTTTATTTAAAATTTTTGTGTTTTATGATACAATTTTGGAGAGGCTAGGATTTCCCCAAATCCCACCCCTGACAGATTTTCCCCACGTTGCTACAATAGTATAGTCCTGCATAAGGAGTCATGATTCCATCAGTCTTTTACTTAAGTGTGCCTGAACACTGCTGGTATGATAATTTCAGACAGTCCAGCATCCCCATTGTCTACACGTTTCCAACAGTTTCATTGGGAGTCCATCTTTGATTTGGAAGCCGGGATGCGTATTGCATTGTATTCCCACATCTAGATATGGCAGTCTCTATTTCTCCATCACTATATCTATATATTCCCTTAAATGAGAAGCCACAAAATAAGGTCAACAACCATTTTGATTAGAACAACAACAAAATTACAGCACCATGGAGTCGAATAAAAAAAAAGTGCCACTGAATAACCAACACACAGGTGACAAAAACAAAACGCAACTCTCTTGGATAAAATGATGCCACCGTGCAATCCATCAACCAGCGACAGGACATCTACTTCTAAAAATGATAATACAACAGTTGCATTTCCCCACACAATTCTGTTTCTTTCTGTGACCAATCTAACGCTTCTGCTAACTCACAGAGAATAGGTCAATCTACTTTCAGACTGACCTGCCTACTAATAGCAAATAAGGACCTTTGCTCTGTTGTTGCACTATAGTTGAGTTTATTTCAGAATTTCTGATAGTTTTTTACTATAAAAGAGTAAAATTAAAAAAAAAAAAAACTTCTGGGCTAGAAAATACACACAGAGTGGGGCTGGTATGGTGGCATAGCACACTCATTCTCCATCCTGTGGTGCTGGCATTCCACATGGATGTCAGTTCCTGTCACTGCTGCTCCACTTCCCATCCAGTTCTCTAATTATGGCTTGAGAGGGCAGCGGAGGATGGCTCAAACCCTTGGGACCCCACACCCATGTGGAAGACCTGGAAATGGAAGAGGCTCCTGGCTTCTGGCTTTGGATCAAATCAGCTCTGGCCATTGTGGCCATTTTCGGGAGTGAACCAACAGGCGGGACCCACTTCTCTCTCTGTCCTTCTCTGTCTCTCTGTAAACCTGGCATTCAAGGAAAAGTAAATAAATCCATCTTTTAAAAAGGAGAAAGGATAAAGTCAAAGAAAAATCATATCCCCAAGTAGGAAGCACCTGTAAGATGACAGGTGGTGGATTCATATCAGGATCTCTTTTCTCCCATACACATGTTGTACTGGGGAAGGTATGCATTTATTTCACAAATATTTGAGGAATCAGGCAAAACTATTTTAGATCCTGGGGCTGCATGGTAAACAGGCACAATTCCTTGCTTAAGCATACTGTGCATTCCCATGCCCTAAAGAAAGTAAATATATGGTAGGAAGGACGCAGGAACGGAAGTGAACATAAACAAGAGTGTAGGTTGAGAGAATGGGCAACGGAATACGTGCCAATCATCTAAAACAGCCCACCTGCTCCAGTCTGCTTCCCAGAGGATGCTCCAGGAAAGTTAGTCTTGCAAAGTGGTACTCAAAAGAGGCCAGACCACCACAAACAGGAAAAGCTATACAAAACCACCCTTGGACAGATTTCTGAGCGATTTATGAGGATGTGTGCTGCTAGGACAGGAAGAGCCCGCATTCTCCCTGGTTGCTACATCCTGGATGTACTCCTAGGCTTTCATGAAAGCCTTGGCAAACTGCTTCCCTGGGAGGTACCTTCCTTAAGCCATAATGCCTTCTGAATGTCTGCTTGTCACAAGCAAAGAGAAGACAAAGCACCTTCTTTGTGTCTGCCAATAATGCAGCACCATTCAATCAAGCTTTATGGGATGATGGAAACATTCAACATCTGCAGAGTTCAAAATGATAGCATAACTGCATACTGCTATTACATACAAGGAATAGGGATTTTGCAATTGAGGAACTGAATTTTTAATTTTTAATGATTTCAAATACATCTTGATGTCCCTTTTAAAAGATTTATTTATTTTTGGGCCCAGCATGTAGCCTAGTGGCTAAAGTTCTCGCCTTGCATGTGCCGGGATCCTATATGGGTGCCGGTTCTAATCCCGGCAGCCTGGCTTCCCATCCAGCTCTCTGCTGGTAGCCTGGGAAAGCAGTAATGGATGGCTCCAAACCTTGGGACCCTGTACCTGCATGGGAGACCTGGAAGAAACTCCTGGCTCCTGGACTTCAGATTGGCCCAGCACTGTTCGTTGTGGCCACTCGGAGAGAGAATCAGTGGGTGGAAGAACTCTCTGTCTTTCCTCCTTTCTGTGTATCTGCCTTTCCAATAAAAATAAGTAAGTAAAAAAGGATTTATTTGTTTTTATTAGAAAGTCAAATTTTACAGAGAGAGAGAAGGAGAGATGTGAGGAAGATTTTCCATTCGATGATTCACTCCCCAAGTGGCCAAAATGATCAGAGCTGAGCTGATCTGAAGCCAGGAGCCAGGATCCTCCTCTGGGTCTCCCACTTGGATGCAGGATCTTAAGGCTTCGGGCCGTCCTCTTATGCATCTTGCATAAGGAGGAAACTGGATGGGAAATGAAACGGCCGGGACTCAGATGGGATCCAGCACACGCAGGGTGAGGATTCAGTCACTAGGCTATCACCCGAGCCCCAATTTCTCAGTATTCTTATATGTGTGGACCTCAGGAAGATGACTCTACCCTTTATGTTAATGACCAAATTCTATTACTTGTCCATAGCCGGACTGCACTGATCAGGTCTTTGCATACAATTGCTCTCTTGTTGAGTCACACCTGGAGACATTGGGAATTGCCACAGAACCAGAAGAACCAACCTTACAATAGTTTAAAAAAAGAAGAAGAAAAAAGAAAACCAATCTTCAAACCATAGGTATACTCTGGATGCCAGCTTTCTTGGATGGTTCAAGTGGCTTGCTTCCTGCCTCCCAGCTTCAGCCGGCTCAGCTCCAGCTTTTGAGGGTTCTTGGGGTGTGTAGACCCCTCGAATAGAAGACCTGTCTCCTTTTCTCTCATTCACTGTTCGTGTGTGCTTCTTGCTTTCTCTCCTTCCTGTTCTGCCATTTCTCTCTCTCTCTCTCTGCCTTTTAAATATTTTGAAAACTCTCAGACCCTTAATAATATTAATTAACCTACCATTATTTTGAAATGAGGCCAGAATGTGGCTATGAAGTTAAAATTTATCTGCCTTTCCAATGAAAATAAATAAACATTACTGAGAACTTTCATGAAGAGAGTAGATGTTTTGAAGGCAGCACACAAATGTGCCTTATAACTTTGCTAATAACGCTGTGATCCACGGACTCAGGGTTTCTTCAACTAAAGGCTTCTTACAAATGTAAGAATCTCCACAACAGAATTTTCAACTTAAAACTTCCTCAGGTCTGTCCAATATACACTAAAATTTGATGAGTTTGGCTGATCAAAGATGAGAATCAAACTAAATTTACAAACGAAAAACAGTTTTGGAGATGATTTATACCGAAGGAGACAATATTCCTAAGGGGAAAATAGTGTTAAGAAAGGGCACAGCTGAAGGCATTCAAACACCCTAACCACGTGTGATGGGTGCAGAGGCCTGAACACAACAGCCAGGCCGGTCGGGAGGGCGTGGCCTGGGAGTGAAGTATCTGTTCAAGGTTGCTGAGATAGATGCGCAGTTGAATAGAAAAGTGTGTCTGGAAACAGAACTTTATCTGATATCCTGATAATTCTAGAGTTCTTGGTATTGGAGTAGAGTTCGTATCAATCCTTTGCGCTCCTCTCAAAACCTGTTCAGTGAAGTGGGGTTTAGTTATTGCGTCCTGCTGTGCCGAAGCGCGCTGATGACTTATAATCGGGTTGAACTTTTCAAATTGCCCTCCCTCAGGACATTTTCTCCCCAGACCTGCCGTCCAAGTCCCGCCCTCGCCCGTAGCATTGCATACCTCCCGCCGGCCGGGGCCGCTGTCGCACTCTTCCCGCCCCGGCCGGAAGGCGGGCCGGCCCAACAAGGCCTCGGCGTTTCCGCCGTACGTTCGCAGCGCTCTGCGCGCTCTCTACGTCCGGAGCTTCTGCAGTAGGCGTTTCCGGCCATTCATCGGCCCTGGTCGGTCTGGGCTTGGCGCGTCCTCTGCGTTATCGGCCAGAAAAGGGGGCAGTTAGGCCGCCAGGATGAAGCTCGTGAGGTGAGGCGCTGACGGGGCGCGGCGGCGGCCGGGAAGGGCGGGCGGGCGCCGGGGTGGGCCGCTGTGCTGCCCGGGCGGCCGGCGGCGGGAAAGCCGCGTGCGTGCGGCCTGCTAACGGCCTGCGGCGCCCGCCGCGCGCGCATCATGGCTGCTCCCGGGGGCCTGGCTGGTCGCGGCGTGGGCCTGGCTGGTCGCGGCGTGGGCCTGCCTGGTTCCCGGGGCAGGGGGGCTTGCAGGTGTCCTGCAGTTCCTTTGCCGACCCGTTCTCTTTGTGCGCGTGGCCGCCGGAGTTTATCTTGGATGGAAGGGAAGCCCACTTGGAATTAAAAAAAAAAAGGTGTTCATCAGAGGGGAAGTCTGATCCGTACACTGCGGTTTGGAAGCTCTGGCCTCTTTGGCGGCTGGTGTTGCTCGTCGTTCGTAGCCGTGGTGTGGGTGTTTTCGCGTGGACACAGCCTGCAGCCCCGCGGCGGCGGCTTCTCTGCGCTAACCAGCAATGCGGATTACTGGCCGCTTTTCTCTCCTCGTGAGTCCGGGGCTGTCGCTGTTGCCCCCTTCTCGTGCACCTGTTGAACCTGCTCTGTGCTGGTGGTGGGATTTTTTAGAATTTAAGACAGAATCCCTCCCTTGCCACTTTGTATTTATTACTGAAGTCAGGTGGTTACCGTCTAGTGTGTTTGAAATAATATATAGTTAATCTTTGTGCGTGCCTTTATGGGTAAGACACTGAATGTTAACCTTTAATAATCACTTAGATTTGAATTATAACTTTGACTTGCTGTCTTGAACCTTAAATCTTTCCTTTTTTAAAATTCGGCTAGATTCATTTTGTCTCATTTGAAAATACCGCGTCATAATACATTTTCTGTAATTTTTAATGGCTGTACTGACTCTCATTCTGTGTCTTATGTTCAACCTGGACAGACATCTCTTAGCAAATAGTTTGATGGGTTTGTATGTTCAATATCTTTCTGTTTCCACTGGTGGCATTTTTGTCATTTTTGCCGTTGCCTTAAACAAAAACCTGGGCGATGAACTTTATTTCCTCTGACATCTGAGAACCACAGCCTTGATAGATCTATTTTCTGTGCAGTTCTCTTTGGGTTTTGAATTGGAATAGTGTGCTTTTGGTTGCTGAAGATTACCATGTTATTTGAATATTTGATGGTTTACGTAGTGGAGAAATTATCAAAATATAATCATCTGGTTCCTTGTCTCAGGCAGGCAGAAATGACCATCCTCCCTTCCGTGTCAGTTACCACCACTGGCTTGGATACTTTTAAACTGAAATTCAGTGTATATTTTCTGAGTGGAAAAATTCTACACTGGTGTGATCCACAGCCCTGTCCTGATAAGTACCAAGCCCTTCCAGGTCAACTTCTCCGTATCCTCAAGGCAACAGGTTGCTTCCATTGCAGTTTAGCCTGTCCTGCAGTTTCTTGTTTGACATCCTACCATATGTCTTTTTGTGTAACATTTCCTTACTTTACACACTTAGGGAAGGTTCACCCACATTGTGGCAAATGTTATGGCACATTTCCCAAGTGCCACAATAGCTGGTGTGGGGCTGTGTTCCACTGCCCCCCATATTATTTAAAAAATTTTAAATGCTGGGTAGGAGGGTGTAACTCTAAGAAATATCCAACCAGCTTTCTAAGTGATTCTACCCTTTTACACTTCTTACTAGGAATATGTTAGAATCTCACAAAATACTCACCAGATTTTGTTGTTGTCCGTGGGTGTGCAGTAATGGTTCCTTAAGAGTTTTAGTTTGTATTTTTCTTTTATTATTTTTATTACAAAGTCAGATATACAGAGAGGAGGAGAGACAGAAAGATCGTCCGTCTGATGATTCACTCCCCAAGTGAGTGCAACGTCTGGTGCTGTGCCAAACTGGAGCCTGGAGCCAGGAACCTCTTCCAGTCTCCCACGTGGGTGCAGGGTCCCAAGGCTTTGGGCCGTCCTCAACTGCTTTCCCAGGTTACAAGCAGGGAGCTGGATAGGAAGTGGAGCTGCCGGGATTAGAACCGGCGCCCATATGGGATGCCGGTGTGTTCAAGGGAGGACCTTAGCCACACCGCTGGGCCCTAGTTTGTATTTTTCTAATGACTAATGCTCATTGGCTATTTGCATCTCTGTTGTGAAATGCATATTCAAATATTTTGTTTATCTTGATGATCTTTTTATTACTGAATTGTAAGAAATCTGTATTTTCTGGATACCAGTCCTGAGTTAGATATATTTTATACCAGTTGGTATTTTAATTTTCATTTCATTACTACTTTATTTCCCTCCCTCTCTTTTCACTCTTTTTAAAAGATATATTTATTTAGGTTATTTATTTAGGTTTATTTTAGGCAGAGAGAGATCTTCCATTTCCTAGTTCATTTCTCAAACAAACTGGGTCAGGCTAAAGCCAGGGGCCTGGAGCTCCATCTAGGACTGCTGTGTGGGTCACATGGCCCAGGCACTTGGCCTGCATCTGCTGCTTTCTCGGGCTCATTAGCAGGGAGCTGTGTGGGAGGTGCAGCAGCCAGGACGCAAACCAGTCCCCACTTGGTATGTTGTCACTGTAGGCAGCAGCTTTACCCTCTGTGTCAGTGTTGACCCCAGTAGTGTCTCTTAATGAGCAGTTTGTTTTGAGGAAGTCTTAATTTATGAGCATTTTCTTTGTACTGTCAAAATAACACACCTCTACATTCAGATCATGACGATATTCTATTTTTTTCAAATAGAATTTTGCATATTTAGGATACGGTCAATCTTGAGTTTTGATAAATGTTGTTCATTTTCCCTGTGAATTTCCAGTTATGCCAGCATCATTTGTGGAAAATTTACCCTTTTCCCCTGTACCTTTTTAATGTGACTGGAAAGTCAAACATCTAGATTGTAAATCTATTTCTAGGTTCTTTGTTCTATTTCATTGATCAGTTTATTGTTCCTTATTTCTTGGTTGGGTAGTTTATACTACTGTAGCAACCTAATTTGCCTTCCTAGAATTTATACTTTTATTTAAAATCCATCCTTTGAATGTTCACCCTAGGTTTTCTTTAAAGACAGTACTTTTCACCTAATGCCTAAGATGCTTAAATGGTTAAATGCTTGGTGCTAGTCTCCTGCTAATCCAGACCATTGAGCAGAAATGGCTCAATGATTTGAGTTCTTGCCACCCATGCATTCCTGGATTGAATTCCTAGTTCCTAGCTTTGCCATTGGTCCCAGCTCCAGTCATTTATTTTTATTGGAAAGGCAGGTTTAGAGAGAGAAGCAGAGACAGATCTTCCATCTGCTGGTTCACTCCCCAAGTGGCTGCAGTGGCTGGGTCTCATTTGATCCAAATCCAGGAGCTGCTTCTGGGTTTCTGACATAGGTGTTGGAGTGTCCTCAGCTGCTTTCCCAGGCCACAAGCAGGGAGCTGGATGGGAAGTGGAGCAGCTGGAACACAAACTGGTGCCTACATGAGTTTCCAGCGTGTGCAAGGTGAGAATTTAGCCAGTGGGCCATCGCACTGGACCCTATCTATAATACTTAAAAAGATTGGCTCTCTGATTATTGAATCAGTTGGCCAACATTATTCAGTGCCTGTTACAATTCACGATAGTCATTAGGAAGAATAATGTTTCTACAAGGGTGCTGTTGAGTGTGATCAGTGCTATCAATGATAGGATCTGCAAAGTGTATATTGTAAACTAGGCATTTTGAATGTGAACTGTTAGATGGTGTTGTGAGGTTACTATGTACTTCCTTGGATGTGCTGTGGGATCATGGTTATCTGGGAGAACATCCTCATTTAGGAAGTAGATACTCAAGTGTCATAAATGCCTGCAATTTATTGTAGATGATAAGGTGATACTGTGAAAGTCTACAGTGTGTGTGTGTGTGTGTGTGTGTGTGTGTGTGTGTGTGTGTGTGTGTGAAGGCTAAATAGGGGCAACACTTTAACACTGTATGAGCCCTTCAACTTTTCTTTCTCTGCAATGAAACATAATTTAAAAAAAAAAAAAGAGTCTCAGTATAAAAATGCTTGTTTTCACTTTAGCTGAAGGGTAGAGAGACCCAGGCAGATCTCTGTCCACTGCTTAACTCCCCTAGGTCTGCAGCATGTGAAGCTGGGCCAGGCCAAGGCACCAGCTGGAGCCTGGTTTCCCTCGTGGGTGCTAGCGCCACTAGAGTGCTGGAGCCATCATCTCTTGCCTCCTGTTGCGCATATAAGCACTAAACTAATTGGGATCTGAACCCTGGCACCCCAGTGAGAGATATGAGCATTTCAAACAGGGTCTTGACCAAATGCACTTACATATTATTCAGGCAGCAGGCCTTTTTTAGTTGAGGAAAACAGTAAGTTAGACTTTTACTTTACTTTTTTTTTTTTTAAGGTTTATTTATTTGTATTGAAAGGCAAATATACAGAGAGGAGGAGACAGAGAGGAAGATCTTCCATCCAGTGTTTCACTCCCCTACTGGCTGCAATGGCTGGAGCTGAGAGATCTGAAGCCACGAACCAGGAGCCTCTTCTGGGTCTCCCACATGGTGCAGGGTCTCAAGGCTTTGGGCTGTCCTTGGCTGCTTTCCCATGCCACAAGCAGGGAACTGGATGGGAAGTGGAGCTGCTGGGATTAGAACTCGTGCCCATATGGGATCCTGGTGCATGCAAGGCGAGGACTTTAGCCACTAGGCTATTGCGCTGTGCCCTAGACAGTTACTTTTTTTTTTTTTTAAGATTTATTTTTATTATTTTTTCATTGGAAAGGCGGATATACAGAGAGGAGAGACAGAGAGGAAGATCTTCCGTCCGATGATTCACTCCCCAAGTGAGCGCAACGGGCCGATACTATGCCAATCCGAAGCCAGGAGCCTCTTCTGGGTCTCCCACGTGGGTGCAGGTTCCCAAAGCTTTGGGCCGTCCTCGACTGCTTTCCCGGGCCACAGGCAGGGAGCTGGAAGGGAAGCGGGGCTGCCGGGATTAGAACCGGCACCCATATGGGATCCCGGGCGTGCAAGGCGAGGACCTTTAACCACTTGCGCCACCGCGCCGGGCCCGACAGTTACTTTTTGCTGCACAGAAAAATCACCTCTAGGTGTGTTAAAACTCTTAAAAATAAAAGTAAGCCACTGTTTATGGTCTTAGCACAGAAAAAAAAAAAAGCCATCATCATCAGCAAAGCACATGCCCCAGAAGGATTTACTGATTAGCATGTGAAAGGGTTTTTTTTTTCAGATTTATTTATTTCATTGGAGTCAGATACGCAGAGTGAAAGAGACAGAAGATTTTTCGTCCACTGATTCACTCACCAAGTAGCTGTAACAGGCGCTTTCTCCAGGTCTCCCACATGGGTACAGGTGCCAAGGCTTTGGGCCATCCTGGACTGCTCTCCCACAGCAGGGAGCTGGATGGGAAGCAGAGCATCCGGGATATGAACCAGTACTCATATGGGATCCCTGCCTGTGCAAGGGGAGGACTTTAGCTACTAGGCTACCACATCTGACCCAACAAGTGCAAGTTTTATGACCAAAGAAACCATGAACAAACTTGAGTGACTGGCAAAGTGGGGGAAAAAAGAAAAACTCAATCTAATTATAATTGTGTGAATAATTTAAATATAGTTCATGAAAGATATACAGATTTCTCAGATTAACTCACTAGTGAAAACCAAATTGTACATTTCCCTTAATCAAATTGACAAAAACTGGTATTAACTGGGCTTGTAATAGCCATGACTTGGACGTTTGTATCCATTGGCATGGTTAATAAATTATGACATTATCATATAGAGAATAATGCCTAGCACTTGGGCTAGCGTTATGCAGTTGGTTAGGTCACAGGCTGATGCTAGCAACCCAGTTTCACCGCTAGTGGGAAAGCAACAGAACACGTCATGCCAAGAACTTGTGGGACAGCTGGCTGGTAAAGAAATGGTTCTGTATAGTAGTATGGAAATAATTTGAGTTAAACTGCAGAATGTGAGTGGCAGATTACAGAAGTCATTAAAATATAGCCCAGTGTATGCAAAGTAAATCTTAACGTATGTTTAGGAATGCATATAGAAGGATCTGGAAATCCCAAACACAGAAGGGTTTAGGAATGGAGATTTTTGCTTAAACACCTACCAGAAGAATGTAATCTTTACCAGTGACAAGTTGTTTTTGTTTTTTGAAGGGGCGCTCCCATCTACTAGTTCACTCCCCGTGCCTACAGCAGCTGCAGGAACTACTGCACATCTCCTTGGGGCTGGTAGGGGTCTGATCACCAAACGCTCACCCGGGGTTTTGTGAGGGGTGTGCTAGCAGGAAGCTGGATGCCAAGCAGTGGGAGGACTCAAATCCAGCTCTCTGCCAGGGGGTACAGAGCTCTGAGCCGCCAGGTGAAACACCACCCCAGTTCTTGATTGCTTTTTAATGACTTATGAGTCTGGGATCTTGTATGCATTTGAGGTTAATATGCATAATGAAGAATTTAGGAGGGTTTGAGAATCAGAAATGTTCAAATGATAATTGATACTAATGTTACTAAGTTCCTTCATAAATGCCAAGGCATAATTCAGGGAAAATTATGTTATATGTGTATGGTGAATAGAAATTGATGCAGATTTTCAACAAGTAAAAATTTTACTCTTTCAACTTAACATGATTTTAAAATGTTAAAGGTGCCAGAAATTGAAATCTTATTCTGTCTTTATAGATTTTTGATCTTATTCTAACTGTCTTTATAGATTTTTGATGAAATTGAGTCATGAAACTGTAACCATTGAATTGAAGAATGGAACACAGGTCCATGGAACTATCACAGGTATGGAGATGAGGCGGCTTTATTCTTCATCTGTTACAAGGAACTCACTTCTGTTTTAATTATAGTGCAGATCACTAAGGAACGTAAGAACCAGAATCCTAGTCATTTCCCATTGCTCATTGCTAACTGCAATATTTTCAGCTTTTGTAATTTCTGCTTTGCTTGTTTAGCTAAGAAACTGAACTTACAGGCCTGACAGCCTATGAGACATTTGTCCAGTCACACTGACAGAGCATTCCTCTAAACAAAGACCCCTGGTGTGTCCTTTAGATAACACTTGCTCAAAGTGCATCCCCATAGCAACTCCCACTCAATGTAAGAGAAAGGTTGTAAGAGTAGCCTCCATACTTGACCAGTAGTGGGCCCAGTGCTGGCTGGTGTCCCGGCCTCGAACGCACCTTAATCCCATATGGCACTGGCTCCCATCCAGCTCCCTGCCTTTGGCCTGGGAAAGAAAGCAATCGAGGATGGCCGAAAGCCTTGGTACCCTGCACCCATGCAGGAGCCCCCAAAGAAGTTCCTGGATCCTGGCTTCAGATCGCTGCAGCTCCGGTTGTGGTCACTTGGGGGAGTGAATCAGCAAACAGGAGATTTTCCTCTCTGTATATCTGACTTTGCATTAAAAAAAAAAATCTTTAAAAAAAAATAGTTGGCCAATAGTATGCCTCAGAGGTTGAATCACTAATAGTATGCTCCCTTAACCATTGCCACCACATGAATTGGCCCATCAATTTGCTTTGAAACTGACCTGTCCTATGTTTTAGAGATAAAATCCTAGGTAAATGAAGTGTCACAAAACTAATCCTCTGATTGGCTGTTTGACAGAATAAAAACCCTGCAATTTTGTGGTTCAGGATCTTCACTTTGGGGACCTGAGCTGGAATAAACCGCTCTTGCATTTCGCATCTACATTCAACTCCTGGCGATTCATTTGGGGGAACCCAGAGCTGCAGCAGCAGCAAAGGCCCAGGTCTGTGGTTGCTAGCTGCAGAACTGTAACGCTGACCTGGCACGACTGACTGCACAGAGGCCCCGCAGCATCTGAAGCCATCTGCTGTTGCCCTAGGGCTGATCCAGGCATAATGTGGCTACTTCTTAGGATTATTTGACATTTTACTTAAGCCTCACTTTAAATACTTAAGACTACGACCAAACTGAATTATCTGGGTTATCCTGTTTTCTTGCTTTATTGCCTTTGCTTGTGTTTGTTTCTCTTTAAGATTTTATTTTTATTTCTGCTGCAAATCCGGATATACAGAGAGGAAGATCTTCTGCCCAATGATTCACTCCCCAAGTGGCCGCAAGGGCCTGAGCTGTGCCAATACAAAGCCAGGAGCCCGGAGTCTTCCGGGTTTCCCACATGGGCACAGGGTCCCAGGGCACTGGGCCATCCTCGACTGCTTTCTCAGGCCACAAGCAGGGAACTGGATGGGAAGTGGGGCTGCTGGGATTAGAACTGGTGTTGAAATGGGATCCTGGCACTTGCAAGGCGAGGACTTTAGCTGCCTAGCTACCGTGCTGGGCCCTCTTTGAATGTTAACTCTTCTAAAATGTATTTGAAATTTTTTACTTCAGAATTTTGTGCTTTCTTTTCATTCTTGAAGGAAAGAAGTAGGAGTATCTTAAGTATCTATACTGAATACTCTGTAGGAATGAAAGAATACAGACTTGGCTGACATTATTCCTTCATTTACTCATTGCATATGTGCTAATTTCATTTGTACCAGAGTACCTACTGTGGCTTCATAGATTGATTGTTTGCTTTCCTTTTTATATCGGTAACTCTTTGTCCCACTCAGGTGTCGATGTCAGCATGAATACACATCTTAAAGCTGTGAAAATGACCCTGAAGAACAGAGAGCCCGTGCAGCTGGAAACACTGAGCATCCGAGGAAACAACATTCGATATTTTATTCTACCAGACAGCTTGCCTCTGGACACATTACTTGTGGATGTTGAGCCTAAGGTGAAATCTAAGAAAAGAGAAGCTGGTAAGTTGGAGGGATTGTAAATGTTCTTTATGAATAAATTACACTACAATTTATTTAAAGTAACAACGCTGTCCAACAATACAGAAGATTTTGATGTTTAAATTTTCCTATACCTGCCATGTATGCATTTGTATTTTATTATTTTTAGAGATTTATTTATTTTTATTGGAAAATCAGATATACAAAGAAGAGAGGAGATAGGAAGATCTTCCATCAGCTGATTTCACTCCCCAAGCGGGCAGAACAGACAGTGCTGGGCCAATCTGAAGCCAGGTTCCAGGAGCTTCTTCTTGGTCTCCCATGTGGGTGCAGAGTCCTAAAGCTTTGGCTCATCCTCTACTGCTTTCCCAGGCCATAAACAGGGTTGGGAAGCGGGGCCATCGGAATTAGAACTAGTGCTCATATGGAATCCTGGCGCTTTCAAGGTGAGGACTCCACTAGCCACTAGGCTACCGTGCCGGGCCCGGGAAAAGTATTTTTAAAAAAACAAACTTGAAACATTTCTGAATAGAAACCTTTAAATGAAGCAATTATTATGTAAGAAAAAACTACAGCCTGGCACAGTGATTCCATTGGCTGATCCTCCACCTTCAAACGCTGGAATCCCATTTGGATGCTGGTTCGTGTCCTGTCTCCTTGAGGCATGGTAAAGAAGCTCATGGCTTTCGATAGACTGAGTTCTGGCTCTTGAGGCCACTCGGGGTGATCAACAATCAAAGTTCTTTGTCTCTTCCCTCTGTAAATCTGCCTTTCCAATAAAAATGAGTAAATCTTCAAAAAAAAAAAAAGAGAAAGAATGAACTTTGCCTAAGTCACGATAATGATGTGTTGCACTGGGGGGTGATATCTAATTAATTGGAGAAAAACCAAAGGCTTGCTTTTCCTGTGATGTTCGTGAGGTCTCAAGGCGAGAGCAGGTGTGTAGGTCACTGGTGTCTGACGGCTAGGTCCCCGGGCCACAGACAGAAAGGACTGACTGGCTTTGCTCTGCTCTCAGTTGCAGGAAGAGGCCGAGGCCGAGGCCGAGGAAGAGGACGTGGCCGTGGCAGAGGACGAGGGGGTCCCAGGCGATAATGGCTCTCATGATTACTGGTTCAGAGTGATGAATGACTTTGCGTATTTTTTGTACAGGTTTTTTTTTGTTTGTCACTTTTTAATAAACGTTAAGTGTTGGACAGAGTTGTCTATTGACTGTATCACATTAATTTTAGTATTTTCATATGTATGAAATTGTTCTTGTGAAAGCTAAGCAGTTCTAACAGTTCTCAAATGATTCAAATGATTATTCTTTAATTTTTTCATTTAGTTTTCTTTTTTTTTTAGTGCAAGTGTGAGAGATCATATACCTTTTTACTTCATATACACCAAATATTTGTTACTTTACTCTTGAGTCGGATATATAGAGAGGAGGAGAGACAGAAAAGACTTCCATCCGATGATTCACTCCCCAAGTGACCGCAGCAGCTGCTGCTACGCCAATCCAAAGACAGGAGCCAGGAACTTCCTCTAGGTCTCCCATGTGGGTGTAGGGTCCCAAGGCTTTGGGCCATCCTCAACTACCTTCCCAGGTCACAATCAGGGAGCCGGATGGGAAGTGGGGCAGCCGGAATTAGAACCAGTGCCCATATGGGATCCCATCATGTTCAAGGCGAGGACTTTAGCTATTAGGCCACTGCACCGGGCCTAGATGCAGGGTTCTAAGACTTTAGACCATCCTTGACTGCTTTCCCAGGCCACAAACAAGGAGCTGAATGGACAATGGAGCAGACAGACAAGAACCCAAAGAGAGGATTAGCCAGTTGAGCCACTGTGTTGGCACCAAACGGGCATTCCTAATTAAAGTCCAACAGTTTCACAATAGGGGTTATACAAGTATGGCTTAGTATTTTGAACGGTATTGACAGGCATTAATGTAATAACTCTGATCAGTGTCAGTATATAATTTAACATGTGATATCTATGCCACAACATTAACCTAGATTATCCTTAACAAGGTTGTCATAGGGCATGTTGTGTTAGTGCCTCAAGACCTTGCCTGGCATGCACCCGGTTCCCATATGGGCACCGGTTCTAATCCCAGCAGTCCTGCTTCCCATCCAGCTCCCTGCTTGTGGCCTGAGAAAGCAGTTGTGGATGTTCTAAAGCCTTGGGACCCTGCACCTTCGTTGGAGACCCAGAAGAGTCTCCGGGATCCTGGTTTCAGATCGGCTGACCTCTGGCTGTTGCAGCCACTTTGGGAGTGAAGATCTTTCTGTCTCTCCTCTGTATATCTGCCTGTCCAATAAAAAAAAAAAAAGTAAGACTGGGCCCGGCGCGGTGGCGCAAGTGGTTAAAGGTCCTCGCCTTGCACGCCCGGGATCCCATATGGGCGCCGGTTCTAATCCCGGCAGCCCCGCTTCCCTTCCAGCTCCCTGCCTGTGGCCTGGGAAAGCAGTCGAGGACGGCCCAAAGCTTTGGGAACCTGCACCCGCGTGGGACACCCAGAAGAGGCTCCTGGCTTCGGATTGGCATAGTATCGGCCCGTTGCGCTCACTTGGGGAGTGAATCATCGGATGGAAGATCTTCCTCTCTGCCTCTCCTCTCTGTACATCTGCCTTTCCAATAACAAAATAATAAAAATAAATCTTTAAAAAAAAAAAGTAAGACTGTCATAAAGACATTTTATAGCATTTTAAAGTTTTACTTATTTGAAAGGTAGAGTTACAGAAAGAGACAGAGATCTTCCATTCACTTTCCAAATGACTGCAACATCTAGGGGTTTTCCAGGCTAAGTCACGACCTTGGAACTCTATCCATGTTCTCCGTGTAAGTGGCAGGAAGACAGGGAACCAGACCATTTTCACTGCTTCAACCAGGTGCATAATGCTGATATTTATGTGAAATTCTGGCAGATTGACAACAGGATTATTCTGAAGCGAACTTTTTCAAAATTCTGTTTGAGAACATGAAGCTATATGAATCAGTTTGCCCTGTTAATAAAGTTTGTTGATGCATTCTGTGTATTTTGGGCAAGGTTAGAGCTTAATGAGGCTGTGCATACAAAGGAAATGATTATAGCAAAGACTGCTTGTTACATGAGGTTGCCAGCTGGCAATTACAGCACTTATGTTTTTTTTTAAATTATTTTTATTTTCATTGGAAAGGCGGATATACAGAGAGGAGAGACAGAGAGGAAGATCTTCCGTCCGATGATTCACTCCCCAAGTGAGCGCAACAGGCCGATACTATGCCAATCCGAAGCCAGGAGCCTCTTCCGGGTCTCCCACACAGGTGCAGGTTCCCAAAGCTTTTGGGCTGTGCTCGACTGTTTTCCTGGGCCACAGGCAGGGAGCTGGATGGGAAGCAGGGCTGCTGGGACCAGAACCGGCGCCCATATGGGATCCCGGGCGTGCAAGGAGAGGACCTTAACCACTGCGCCACTGCACCGGGCCCCTTTTTTAAATTTAGTATTTATTTTTAAGATGTACTTATTTTTTATTGAAAAGGCAGACATACAGGAAGGAGAGACAAAGAGATCTGTCTGCTGATTCAAAACAGCCAGAGTTGAGCTGATCGATAGCAAGGAGCTTCTTCCTAGTCTCCTATGTGAGTGCAGGGTCCTAAGGCTCTGGGCCATTCCTGACTGCTTTCCCAAGCCACAGGGAGGGAGCTGGATGGGAAGTGGGACTGCCGGGATACAAACTGGCACCCATATAGGATCCCAGCATGTTCAAGGTGAGGATCAGCCACTGGGATACCACTCTGGGTCCAGTGCTTAAGTTGTGAAAAGACCTTGTAAATACCAAGTCGTTGCTACCACAGAAACTGGAGGATTGAGCTCCTATAAGCCTCTGGTCATGATATTTTCTCATCAAGGCATTACCTTATTTCTTGTGTATTTCTAGACACCTTACTTCCAGTTCATTGACAGGGCCACTGGCATCCTGTATCTTGCTGCTGTAAATTTATTATGTAACGTGTCAGGCACATCACTGACTCCCTAATATCAGGAACAGTAAGCATTATGTTTGGGGCCCTTCTAGAAAATAAAATTACCAAAGCAAAGTGCAAAAAATGTAGCAAATTGGGTTTTAAATAGACTATGGAAAGGACATTTGCATACAATGTGAGAGCTGAGGTGAAAAGGCATGGCAGCACTTTGTTCAGCCTCAGCTGAGAAGGTGCAAGTCAGATGACAAAGTTATAACAGCATGCCAGCGTTGAGGTGCACAACAGTTTAGTAAGTCAATGATGTTCCAAATGCAGACTAATTAGAACCCACCACACTTAACATATTTGGTAAGATCTTAGCTGAATATTGTAAGCGATGTTAGTATACTGAAGGGATGTTTATCTCACTTCACTTCTTTTACATTTTAAGAATAATCTTATTTGAAGGGCAGATTTTACAGAGATAGATGAGAGACAGAGGAAAGGGTTTCCCACCTGCTAATTCAATCCCCAGATAGCCCTAATCTGATCCTAAGCCAGGAGCAAGGAGCTTCTTTGAGGCCTCCAACATGGGTGCAGGGTCCCACGAATTTACCTTATCCTCCACTGCTTTCCCAGGCTGTAAGTGCACAGCTGGATTACAAGTGGTGCAATCAAGACATGAATCGGCACTCACATGGGATGCTGATACTGCAGGGTAGAGGATTAGTCTGCTATGTCACTAATACCTGGGCAAATGGAGACTCTTAGGTTGAACTATGTCAGCCAATGAACCTTGGAAGGATTTCCTCATCCTTGGATTGGTGAGATCAACAGCATTTCAGAACTATCAAAACCACTTAAGCAGAACAGTTGGAGCATGCTCCACATCGGAGACCCTGGGATGACATGGGGTGGCCGTTCCCCATCCCTGGGTCCTGGGGCAGGTGTGATGAAGTGGGGAGAGAAGCAGAGAAGCCATACCCAGCCTAGATCTTTCCTACCCTGATCAACTATATAAACATAATAAAAAAAAAAAACTAGGAAAAATCTACTTTAAAAGATTTATTCATTTTTATTGCCACGTCATATATATATATATATATAGAGAGAGAGAGAGAGAGAGAGAGAGAGATGGAAAAGAGGAGAGAGAGGAAAATTACCCCTTCCGATGATTCACTCCCCAAGTGAGTACAATGGCTTGAGCTGAGCTAATCCACAGTCAGGAGCCAGGAGCTCTTCTGGGTCTCCCACACGGTTGCAGGGTCCCAAGGCTTTGGGCTGTCCTCAGCTGCTTTCCCAGGCCACAAGCAGGGAGCTGGATGGGAAGTGGAGCAGCTGAAACATGAAATGGTGCCTACATGAGATCCCGGTGCATGCAAGGAGAAGATTCAGCCACTAGACTATTGTGCCAGGCCATAACTTTTTCTTTTAAGATTTGTTGTTACTTGAAAGGCAGATTTACGGTGAGGACACACAGAGAAAAATATTCCACATTCTAGTTCTCTCCCCAAACGTCTATGATAGCCACAGCTGAGCTGATGCAAAGCCAGGGGCTATTCCATGTAAGTGAAGAGTCCCAACCACTTGACACATCCTACAGTACTTTCCCATGCCATAAGCAAGAAGCTGGATAGGAAATAGAGCAGCCAGAACATGGGGAACATGAACTGGTACCCCTATGGAAGGCTGGTACTTTAAGGCAGAGGAATATCTTGTTACCTATTTAATTTAAAATGTATTTTCTTCCTCCCTTCCCCCCTTTAATTGTAAAGTCAGATATACAGAGAGGAAGATCTGTCCGACAAGTCACTCCTGGAGTGGTTGCAACAGCAGGAGCTGCACCAATCTGAAGCCAGGAGCCTGGATCTTCCATGTCTCCCACACAGTGCAGGGTCCCAAAGGCTTTGGGCCGTCCTCAACTGCTTTCCCAGGCCACAAGCAGGGAGCTGGGTGGGAAGCGGGCCGCTGGGATTAGAACTGGTGCCCATGGGATCATGGCACGTGCTTCAAGGTGAGGACCTTACCACTAGGCTGCCATGTCTGGCCCTCTCCCTTTTTCTTTTCTTTCTTTCCTTCTTTATTTTTATTGCAAAGGCAGATCAGCTTTATGGGGAGAAGGAGCAACACAAAGATCCTCTGTCTATCTACTGGGGGTGTTCACTCCCCAAATGGCCACAATAGCCAGATCTGAGCTAACTTGATGCCAGGAGCTTCTTCTGGATTCCTACTGTGACTATTCAGAGAATTTGGTGAAATCTACTAA